TTCCATTTATCTACATTACTCGATTGTAGATAATGTGATAAAAAGCTACCAAATACCATTCCGTCTGTTTGTTCATCGAAGTATCTATTACTGTTTTGATCTTTACACGGCCCTTAACCGGTATAATTGCAGTCTCTAATTGAACAGTTACTCTCAACCGGTTTTTCATCAGACGATGTTCCCGCCCTTTTCACAGATTTATTTCTTGCGCTTTGTATAGATAATTTACACTGTATTATAAGTGACTTATATCGCTGGCGATGTCATTTAAACTGGAAACGGCTTGAGATCGCATTATACAGATTATAATAATGATTGTATTAACGTGGAACTACCATGATATGCTATATTGAAATGAAAATTATTTTCTGCTATTCTTTTTCTTTTCAAAACAAAACATTGAAAAACTAATTGTTTTCTTAACAATAATTTTACATTAAGTACCAATTACCCGATTAAAATAAATATTTGCCAAAACATCCGACAGCATAACAAAATATTTGAAGAAGAGATGATGGATCATTCGATAATCATATAATAAATGTAAATATATATTCTTTTAATACTTCAATCTCACGTCAGTGGGCCACGAGAATAAAATAAGAGGCAGATCGCGGCAAGTGATCCCGTATCTATACAATGAAACCGGTAAATAAATAATAAGTATAAAAAGTTTAAAACCCCTTTATGTCGAGCAGCTGCTATGCCGGCTCAAGGTAAACCACCCGTTTTTTTTAGGCCGTGTTTTGCAACGCAAATCAAGTTTTTTTTAATATGAAGTCTAGTGCTACAGTAGCAGTTTACAAGAGATGATATAGCCTGTTTATCATTAACATGGTACTAGGAATCCAATTTAAATCCGACCGACCCGTACATAACTTAACCTTTCATAATTATTCGAAGTTAAAATGAATATTACCGTAATATGTAAGTGAAAAAGTGCTAATAATTTCATAATACGTAAATTTACTTACAATCAATATGTTAATTAATACAGGTGTATGTTATAATAAACAATATAACAAGGGTCTTAAGTCGCCTTATTTATAATTCATCTCTTACGTCAGCGGGTGTCCGCTATGCAAATTTTCCCGGATGAAAATTTGATATGAATATTTCTTTTTAAAACTTGTTACCTCTCGTGACTGATAGCTCCATAATAGTTACCAAAAGTTACTACGTTATATAATATACATCTATATATACAATATCTTCTTCTATCTGGCAATTTCCCAGCTTTAGCCAGGGTCTGCCTTACATGTTGTGAGTAGTTTTGTCTAATTGTTTTTACGACCGACCGCCTGCCTGACATCAACCCTCTTTGGGAATGCATTAATTAGTGGTGTCTAAATACTCTTAGAAAGTACATATGACTCGGAAAAATCACATTGGTACTTGCCCGGGCCAGGATCGAACCCGCGTCCTCAGAGGTGGGCCTTTTAACCACTAGGCACCCACTGACTTTTAACATCTATATATACAATATCTTGTAAAATAAATTACAATTAACTATATTTTACACTCGGCTTTCCTTTAGCTTTAAAATTCTGAAGTTTTATTATCAATTCAGTAATTTCTTGTAAATTAACATTTACATAAAGAGCATGTTAAAACATAAAATTTTTCATACATAAAAAGCTTTATAAGAAATATATGAAAGATATATTCATTAAAGCAAATATCTAGTCATAGAATATGACCTAGTTTTAAATTGTAAATAGAGCAAAGTTTATTGTAATTTTAGAGCCTTTGATGTTATATTTACATAACAGCCTTTTCATTATTATTCACACATTTTATAAGATCTCTATTATAATTAAATTCTTTACAGTTTGTGTCACGTGCAAATCTACGATTACCTTATTAGAGTCTTAGTTTATTTTAACTATTTTTGCAAAATTTAATATGATGCGTTTAAGATCTTTACTTATTGCAAGGTTATTTATTAAAAATAGTATTTATTATAAACATATTTATTTTATATGAATTCAGCTTTATAAGAATATATTTATTTTGTCATCTTAAAGATTACTTGAAATTAAACGTACTTACATTTTAAAGTTGTACATTATAATGTTACAAACTTTTTATTTTTCTTTGAAAGTTATCCTAGTCGAGTATTTTAATAAATATATTTACGCTATCAACATAAAGTTTCAAAAGTCTTTTACGTTTCTCTAACATTCATTATTTATTTTTTGTATAAATAGCATAGTGACTCGGAAAATTTATCCAACAGGGATCAGAACCCAGTATCATATGCATATCATATTTTAATAGAGGTGTTAATTGATTCATGTCTGTTTAAAATATATAAATATACCGCTGCTACATTCCATGAGCTTGAAAGCCTCCTACGGCTGTTGAACCTTTAACATAGGATGTTGTCACAAATACAATTTTTCTGAGTTTTAACAAAAAACCTATAACCAAAATATGATATTTTTTTAAGAAACGAAAAATATATCGACATTGTACTTAATTTCATTTTCTGTCCAATTCTAACGATGTATAACTTAATAGAATTATACTTGAAAATTTAATTTAAATCATCCGTGTTCAAATTAATGATAATATTTAAAAAATATTTTTTTATGTTGAAATATGCATATACTTGTTTGCAAAAGTACCAAGTACTTGTAGAGTATGATCGAGTAAGAGTTAAGAGGAAAGGAAGTATGGTGACAATAAAAGCTTTACTTAATAGGATTCATCTGTGAATTTTATTACAAGAGTTATAAGAAACAATAAAATTTATTCAATATATTAAGTATTAATGATATTTATAATGTGATTACAATTTTATGTGATTGTAGAGGATCAAGAGTACTTAAAATAATGGTCACCCTAGCCCACCTGTGTAGTACACACATGATGCCTACAGCTTATTAAATTAGCAATTTTTATATCCATATAATATAAATTAAATTTAAATATTATTAGACACATATACTTTACAACTGTAATCTTTACATTTAATACTATTAAACATAAAGCATTATATTTAATACGTTGATCGACTTCTACTAAACTTTGTTTTTCATGAAGCTATTTTGAAAGACCGCTGACTAATGTTAAGCTATTTTAAACGTTAGAGCACTTACAAATAAAAGTGATTTTAATAAAAAATTAATTGAGTCATAAGTTCATATATAGTCAAAGAAAATTGTGCAGTATGTTATATGAGTGGATAGTATGTGTTGCCTTATTTCAGCATAGTTTAATATAAGTACCAACTTTGATTGATTCGCAAACCAAACTGAAGCGACCGCGACGTACGTTAAAAGCGTTATATAGCGCATACGGATTATACGGGAAACTTTTTACGTACAGTTATAAAGTATATCTAGTACAAAAGTGAGTATTTGTATTTAATATATACGAATAATTATTAAATTTATCAGAATGTTTTAAATTTTTTATAACTAAAATTTAATACAAACTTGTTTGTCATTTCGTTTCGTTTACTTATAAATATTATTTAGAAAATGATATAATCTTTATATAATACAAAAATAGAATTTGTCGTGGGTATGAACATATATCAGAAAACGTAATGTACCTATAATAATTTATTTAATCAGATAATATGTAATACAAAACAATATTATCAAAATATTAATCACGTCCGAAATCCGACAATCTAATAATAATTAATTATACTTGCTATAATATAACGAAAATAGTGATAAAAAGAAAATATTATGAAATGAACTACTTACTTCAAAAAAATATTCACAAATAAAACTACTAAATTTAATATGAAAGATAAGAATAACAAAATATTATTATAATACCAAAATTATACATATTTTAATGTACTACGTATAATGTTAAACAGTAGTCAAAGCATGTAACACTCGAGTATTTAAAGCATTTATGGCTCAATTATTCAAATTAATAATTTAAATAACTTGTTAAAGACATGTAGTAAAATGCTTCAACTTTCACCTATAGTTATATTCAAAATTTATCCAATGTTCTACATCGTAGAAAAACCACTTAGGAATTTCTCATCAAGGATATTGTAAAGCCTTTCATATAGCGAAGTAGAGCAAGCGGGTCAGACTAAGGCTTTCATTGGGAACTCTTTGGTCTAAAACTCATTAATATATTATTACTAAATCTACTTTATACTTCATTCTATATTATCTGTGTTATGAACATTCTATTGTATTGAAGTTTTAAATAGTGTCTCTTTAATATCATATACAAGTTTCCTTTAGAACATTTATATTTAATTCACTATTGATAGTAATAACAATAAATTTTTTAACAACTATTCATTATTTTGTATTCATATGAATATTATTTGATAACATTGTGTTGATACGAAAAGAAAAACTGAATGAGGTCTACCACATCCTTTGTTAAATATAATAAATATGTATTTTAAATTAATTATTATAGTTTATGACTAAACGTTTCAAAATATAGTTTAACAAAATACGTACCAAAGAAAAATATTATTTTGTGTAATTAAGACATAAGTTTATAGAGATTAGAAAAGGAAGTGGTCTTTGACTCGAAACTTTACGCATTATTTATATACTAAAATAAGAATGGTCTTCAAATATGGATTTGATGTATTAAAACATATTGAATATAAATTCACATTAAAAACCATTTATCTCTCTTAACGTGCATATAAAGCATTTAAATATCACACGTACTTTACACAATATTTTTAATTACTCCACTGTTTAAAGCCGCCTTCCTTATCGCGAGTCTCAAAAAGATATTAAATTTTATTATATAAATAGCTAGGACATTATATTTCGTATATGTCAGTAAGTCGGCATATGCTGTTTCAATTAGCATGAATTAACGATTGATAGAACAAGCCCGTCGGGACCAAAGCAATAAATTGCCCTATTGAATAGATAAAGATTAAGATAACGTAATGAAATCTACCGACGCAATATATTTCGCAACATACGTTATAAATTATACATTTTTTTTTCTTATGTTTGTACGTCAATGTTTTTTCTGACTTACAGGATATTACCAGCCGGCTGGGCCCTTGATAAAGGAGACGAGCGCAGACGCGGAACGAGCACTAGCTAGATACCATCCGCCGCCACACTATCATCCACCACCCGTGAGTTTTATATCTATATATAAATAATCATCTATACATCAATACTCACTACGAAAGTAACTTGTCACTTTTACGATTTGAAATCTGCTGTATAAGGCAAGCATCAGTGATTTTACGTTTTACGTCAGACGACTATAAATATTCGCAAATAGAAAATTATTGCGTACAATTTTCATTCATAAAAGAAACATTTTACACTACAAAACAGTGTCATGATCATATTATAGTGACTAATTCCCACTTGTAAGTGTATTTTCTCGTATTGTAAGTATATTTATAATAAGTGTTCTAATAATGATATTTAACCGTCAGGTACTACAACAATATGGTCCATACTACCCGGCTGAGCTATGTTATGGAAGGTACTACAGACCCCCAGGACCTTATCACATGCCTCCACAGCCGGATGCACCGGTAAAATATACTATATTAAATATTATAATATAATTTATACATATAATGTACATAATAACATTATATAACCGAATTCTAAACGTCTCTCAACGGTAAATTAACATCGTGAGTGTCAGCTATTTCCCATTAAAGTAACAATATCTGCATTGCTGTGTTTCGGTTTGTAGAACAAGACGGCCTTTTAAACTGGCAAACAGTAACATAGCGACGTTAGTTCAAACCGTATCAAGCAAATTCTTAATCCAACAAATGTTTACCTTTGTTACTAGCTAAAATAATCTCCTTAAATGATCAAAGCGTTATAACTCAAGAAACTTGCTCTTATTAGTAGATAAATGTACCATCCAGCTTCTAATATGTCTTGTCGTAACTTCACTAAGACTTTCAAACTTTCGCATAGTTTGAATACACTCGGCAGATATGCATATTACACTGGATTGAATTAACTCATATATTTGCAAATAAAAAACAAAATGTACTTTGAAATAGTCACAGTAATATTAATTTGAAATCATATAAAGTTATAGGTATAGATTAAATCCAAATGGTTATTCTTGATAGTTATATAAAGCCACTTGGCAGTGTTTCAGCATTATTCAAAGTATTTTTTAATGTAAGAGTATATGTATTTTATTTTAGATGGTGGGAGTAAGTGAGCCGTATCCTCCCCCTCAATACTACGGCCCCACACCATGCTACCCCCATTCACCACAAAGAATACCATACGTAGGTCAGTACCATAGGAATATCAAAATAATACACTTTCAAAACCCAGTAATACATTCCGTAACCCCATTTACTCTAACTCCCGCTTCTCTATTTGAAACGTAGCTTAATTGCAAAACTTTATATTCAATTATCTATTAATTTAATTACAATAAAGTTTAATCCCCCACCAGCTAGTTGCTATTCTGTTTCAAATTTCCTCCTCTTTGAATAGCCTCAAACAAATTCATTTTGGAAACATGACAAAAAAAAATGCATGTAGAGATAAAACGTGTTCTTATATCAACTCAGAATACCGAGGATGCCCGTGCCCATTAAACGCGTGTCCAAAAAACGTCCTTATTGGGCCCGCTACTGGTAAAGGCCCCACCGGTGGCGGCCCAGCGGACGTTCCCTCGGCCTTAGCGCCGCCCGGGGCCGCCTTCAGACAGAAGGTGCGGGTCGCGCTCGACTCTAACGCAGATACTCATGGAAGCGGAAAGGTAAAGACACGCAAAAATTTTAATAACAGGAAACCATCATCAAAAAAGATAATTATATTTGATTTATATATTTGTTATAGGATCCTCCTATAGAACCAGAGCCACCAGAGCCTCCGACCGCAGCAGACGCCCCACATCCATGTCCTCTGCCAGCTATCGGTGGTGCATCACCAAAGCGGGAGATGTTCGACGTCCGAGATAACCCTCGCTTAAACGCTGATATCCCGGGACCAACAGAGGCTATAGGACCCCCCTCCCCTGCAAGGGGAGTCTGTGCTCCACAACCACCGCTAAGTGCCCCAAGACGGGCTCGACTTGGCAAAGCCATGGCCAGGCGGTCACTAGCTGGCGATGACACGGCACTCCTCATATCAACACCTCAACCGATAGTTGATAATCACACTGAGGCTGATGATGACGTTCTAGCCATATCACCGCCCACGTGTGCTCCCATCGATTTATCCTCCTCCGATGAACGATCAACACCCTTAGTGGACGTCAAAAAAGAGAATGAGGGACCCACTTACGCTACGTCAAGAAAGACTGACGCGCAAGCTCTTAGAGAACACAATTGTACAACTGCCTTACAAACCACAGATGTCGCGGATCCTGCTAAAGCGGTCAAGCGGAGATATTCCAAATCTAAACTTGAAATAGAAATGAAAGATGTTCAACTCGAGGACGCATGTAAAACAAATGGCATCGGGGAACATGTTAAACTGCAAAAACGAAGAAAGGTTTCTGGGGAACTCTCACATGTACCACGTACAGAAACCATCACTAAAGAACCAAAAAAGAAACCTACGCAGAGCAAAAGGACGACAAAAACTTCAATCAGTGATAAGAAAGGACATAAAAGGAAATCAAGTACTGTCGTAGAGGAACCGAAGCCTAAGACCATGTTACTTGACATCATTACCAATGAAGATCCTCGTCTGACAAATGTTGCTGCCGTTTCAGAGGACACTATGTGTATGAAACCCAAAACTAAAAGCGCACTTCTGCTTGACAATTTAATAAAGAAAAATAGCGTAGACAGGCCTGAAGCTAAAGGATACAATCCTGATACAAAACTAAATCCTGCGGAACTCTTTTTACCACCGAGTGAAAACGTAACTCAAAACAATGCGAAGAAAACCTTAAATATCAATAATAACATAGTAGATACAAATTCCCCCATAAACGGGGTGCGATCAAAAACTATTGCGGCTGTAAGTCAGCTTATTGAAAAGAAGTTAGCGTATAAGAATGCTTGCAAAGTAGACAAAGTAGATTCCAAGGTTACTCACAGCCTTAAATCAGTATTATCTTCACCCACCGAAGCACTAGATGACAAAGAGGATATAAAACAAGGAGTTTTATTAAACGGTGAAATGAATATTGACAAAAAAGTCTGCCTCGAAAGTGATATAGGAAAAATTGCAGATATGAAAGAAAAATGTGAATATAAAGACATTAAAAATACAATAAGTATTGAAAACAATATTTTGCAAAATGAAAAATCCACGAAAGTAAACCTAAAGGCCTGTCCAAACAAAACTATTAAAGAAACTAATAACATCGACCTCGTGGAAGAATCTCAAAAGACAGAAAAAGCTTTAAAAGGCGAAGTAACTAATTCGTGTAAAGCTAAACACGTTGAAAAATTAGTGAAGCTTCTGGCTTCCAAAAAACAGGCTTCAAAGTTATCTGAATCAGAAGCAGTTATAGAGGACGAAGCGGATGTAGACACAAATCAAGATATGGATAGAGAAAAGAGTACAAAACGATGTAAACTAGTCGGAGAAAAAGTTAATGGTGAGAAATGTAAGACGGAGAAAGTGGCGAAGCTGCTCGTGTCCAAAAAGACGGTTATAAAGACTGATGAAGCATCGCTAGTCGTTGAAGACGCTTGTTCATCACCAGTGACGAATGTTAGGAAGACTAGAAGAAGACGTAGCGGAGGAAGAAGAATTAGGAGAACTGTGGCTCCCCTCGCCCCACCAGACTTACAACCTAAAGCAACACCACGATGGAGCAATGGATGGAACTGGGACGGCGAACACTATCTGTCAAAAGTCTACCTCAATGTAAGTCTCATATACAATTTAAATCATACTCATAACACTTACTTACATCTATAACACAAAGATTTGTTTAAATTTGATTGATAGATACAAAATAAAGAATGCGAGTTGTCTCTTGTCGAAAATTTACTTCAGAATCATATTGAATTTAAATAATTATAAGACCAAATACAATCTACATTTCGATATAAACCCAAAGTTTAACACTTCTCGTTTGCCAACATCACTCAATAACAACACGCATACATACCAAAGATTTCTAATACTTTCAAGAACCTTTAAAAAAAAATAACAGTGTGACGAATTGTATAACAAGCGCAATAGATTTACGGTTGCTAAAAAGTAATTAAAACGTCCGTGTCGGGTAAATTGTAAATAATGAAATACATGAATGAAATCCTCAATATATTCGTTTAAATGAAACTAATATTTTTCACATCAACACATCACGTCTGCCCGTGATCACGGTTGCTTTAAAGTAGCTCAACATCTGATCGGGAATACTTAGTTTTTTACGAAAATAAAGTCGCGTAGTATCCAAAAAATATTAGTTACATTGAAATGAATACTCGCGAAAATCTTAGATCTTAATAGTTCATATATATTTGTTGTATTTTTTTGTTTCGGTATACAATAAAGTATATTTCTCTTATCTTATATTAATATTAATTTTAAAGAACGACTCGCGTCTTGACCGCACCGCTCGTTGCTGGGCCCGTATGACCCACGCGAGTGGGGACCGCGTGTCGCGAGGTGACTGCGTCTTATTGAGAGCGTCCCAGGCCAGGGCTCAACCATTCGTGGCCAGGATCGCCAGCCTGTGGGAGAACCCTGATGACGGTTGGTTTAAATTATTTACTTAGATTAGCTATTTTCTTCCTGTTTTTCTATTGTAATCATTTTACTTGGATTGCTACAAAATTATGAAGTTTCTATCGTTGTCTTTGTCAGTCCAAGAAACATATTCAAACAATAAATGGTACTCAGGTTATAGGTCGTGGTGGCTTTGAGGTTAAAGCCGCCTCTCGTGCATGAGAGCGTGGGTTCGAAACCACTGTGAATTTTCCGAGTCATATGTACTTTCTAAGAGTATGTAGTAGTATTTAGACACCACTGACAGTTGGTGAAGAAAAATATCGTGAGGACATCTAGACTTGCAATTTCAAATTATAATTTTGAAATCACCAACCCGTCATGGGCAAGCGTGGTGATTAATGCTCAAATCTTCTCCATGTGAGAAGGCGCCTTTGCTCAGCATTGAGCTCTGATAGGCTAATGATGATAATATATCCATTGTTGTCTTTCATATGTAATATCAATTTATTGTCCAATAAATTTATAGCATATATATATTGGTGTGCAGGTGAGATGATGGTGTCCCTTGTATGGTACTACCGTCCGGAGCATACCGAACGTGGTCGTCAGTCAACAGACGCGCCCGACGAAGTGTTCGCTTCAAGGCATCGCGACGCTAACTCTGTCGCATGTATAGAAGACAAGTGCTACGTACTCACGTTCAATGAGTACTGTAGGTGGGTACATCACTTTGAAATTACTTGTATTCAAAACGTTTTGTCATACTAAGGAATATAGGTTGAATGTCGAACTGCAAGATTCACAGTGGTATATTCCGTTAGACTTAAGCTGAGCTTTGCTTTTGTGTGAGTCAAAGTAAAAGTAGAGTTAGACAAAAGACTTAAAATTCAATTTTATTATATTTTAAATAGATACATAACATAAGTGCTACATATAATCTAGATTAAAAATAAAATAAGCATAACTTGTAAAAGGCCAAATGGAAATATTATGGAAAAAAAATTATTAAGTAACAAAAATTTTGAAAAAACAATACAAATTCTTCTTCACTTTATATTGCGTTTTTAACATTTGACATTGCTACTAGTACAAAGGGTGAAGTGAGAAAGGTGCGGGGCGGAGTAAAAGCAGTATAAACCGGTTCAAAACTAGAAAAGAACGTGGCATTCAAAAATTTGACATCACACCTACACTATCCGTGTGCACTCACACAAATGCAAAGCTCAGCTTAAATCAAACGCACTATACTATTATTGACCAAATCAAAATTTAAAGATAGTAGGTATAGTAATAGTTTTGGACGAATAACATATCGACGAAATTTAAGTTTTAATCTGTAGATATACTAGACAAAAGTTAATATGAAATTTATGTAGACTTCCAAAAATTAATATGAAATTTATGTTGGACGTTTAGTTTTCTGTTCAACAAACCTAAAGATCAAGTGTTATAGTTGTTAAGAATAAAATTGATATGAGACCATAAATTACAGGTACAAGAAGCGCCTGAAAGCGTTAGAAGAGGGCGTCGTGATCACACCATCAATAGTACCGTCGCTGCCAGCCAGTGAAGTGACGCCGGCTTTAGCTCCGAACGACACAAAACTACCGCCTTCTGTATCACCAGAATTAGTGCTGTTCTGCCGAAAAATATACGATTTCAGGTCCAAAAAAATTCATGTACCCAACAAATGAACAAAAAATCAATGATCGAACCCATGTTTCGATACTCGGACCTCGGTTACAGCAGAATCTGGTGAATAAAGGTCTTCTATGAACAGAAGGCTGTATTTATCAGTAGTGTCACATTGAAACTTATAATAGTACAAAAACCGACAACACTAGGTCGTACCCTTTTTTGGATGTTCGCCAATCGGTTTTGTTGCTTCTACTGTGACTTTGTATTTCATGTATGTAATTTAATTTGTATTTCATATAATTTGCGATCTTTCGTAACGACGGATGCTAATAAAATTTTTAGAAATGGATGCCTTTTTATAAATTATAAGTAGTTGTAAGTGAACGCATAATTGTGAATAGCGGTATGTTTATTTCTGCTTCGGGATTGATTATATATTGTGTACCTTCTGTAGATGCGATGTGTGTGCTAACTGCTAGTTGACCCTCTCACGTGTCTCGGTCGTTTAAGTTTTGTTTGGCTAAACTGAAAGGCATTTATACAATTAAAATTTATTTTAATTTACTGTTACATTGTTATATACGTAGAGTCTATAATAAATTATTGTTTTAATACATAATATTACACTGCGAGTAAGTGCTGTTTTACTGCGATTATGTGATTTGCTTACGTAGTTTGTATTTAACTTACGATAACTGTTAGTGATCAGAATTAAATTCTAAATTTTAACTGAACGATGCTGTTGTGGGACAAGTCCGTGGGCTAGTTCTTGATACATATATAGTTACCTAGGCATTTTGTGTACCAGTGTTTTTTCCATCACAAATTGAATCGGCTTAAATTCTTATAGGTGTGTGTAATTTGTAATTATGTATAACGATCGAGTCTCATATTGACAAATAATATGTAGTTATTTATTGACAGTGGCCCCGGGTATTTATTTACAATAAATAAGTTTTATGTTCCTTGGAAACAAATTTCCCCTCATGCCTCGGAGGGATTAATATTTCAGTGGTCAATATGGAAAGGCTGTTCCTCTATAATTCAGTTTAATGTTGTCTATAAAGACTGATTCTCTAGGGCGATGCACACTTTTTTGGCAAAAAAAAAAATACAAAACAATCAATTACATTTTTAAATAAAAACAAAACCTATGACACTATTTATTCCCTTATACAAAATGTGTCAGCCAATATTTTACACTTTAAAAAAATAACAAGTGGGAACATTGTAACATATTTTTAAATATAAAAATTAGTGCATAGATGTAAAACAAAAAGTGTGTTGGACGGAAAGAGATATATTGTATGAGTATTGTAGTGAAATCTCTTTATCATTAGAGTTTGTCCTGTTACAACGCGTCTCGACTTGCAAAAGCTATCTTGTATTCGTGTGATAAGGTTCATTTTACAATGGCCCCGTTATGAATTTTTTAATTTGTGTTGTAGATTCGCATTGGGTCCATAATTTTCATGTAGTGCGGAATATAGAATATATTTAATGTTATAATTCCTTTATGGAATAATGTAAAGGGCATTTACAAGTAATCAGTTTCTGTAGCATTCTTAGTTTCTTACAATGTATCTCTTGAGATGTTTTCCGTTGTTGGCTGTCTTTTATTTACCTCTTTTATTGTAAATATTCTTCTTTAAGTTGTATTATTTCTAAACTTATTTATCTCTCCAGTGAGATTATTTATTTATTGACAATCATGAATTTAATTTATTTTACCAAATCAAGTTTTTTTTGCTTGCAAATCTTTTTTGTGTAAAAATATAAGTTATGTATATACAGAGAATTGTCGAGGGAATTATTATCGTTATTCATAATGTTCTATATGGTTGATGAATAAAATGTACAAAGTTGTATATGAAGAGGAAATTAAGGAATTTCAAAATGTCTTATATAATTCCCTTGAAAAGTTTTTGTATATTTATTTTTTTTAAAGTAACTCATTTTTGCTAAAAATTAATATATATACACAACATCACAATCTCACTGGTGTCTATTCCAAAGCTTAAGTAACCTATTATTTCTTATTCTTTGCTTGATGCCAAAAAATTAGCTGCAAAAGTTCTATTATTCAGTAATTAATACAATTCTCTTTTCTATTTAGGTTAAAAAATGTATGTGAAATACGAATGTGAATTGTAACACATAATCTGACAATATTTCAGAAAATATAAATTTTTATTGACAATAATGGATATTTATTATACAACAAAATATATGAAAAATCCGAAGACAACTATGAGTCGTTTTAAAACCTCTACAGTATACAATGACCCATTCGTATTTCACTTACATTGTTACTCATTACTAATTAATTATAGATTTAATGAGTAAATTCCATAATAAGATTATTACTATAAGTGAGCTCCCCCTTGCTTGTAGATGGAATGTTTTAAAGAATGTTACCTGGATTCCACAGTTGCAACCTTCTTATAGTCAATGATAATTTTTAGAATTAGGTTTACTAATAAGAAAAAAATACTTTGTTTTTATTATTTATTTGTTTCAATGGAAATTATATAGGTATATTTTATTATTGTAACCTACATAGTTACGTTGGCTGTAATTTAATATTGATGTAAAAGTAATATATGTATTTTTATTTCATTCTATGTGTTTTATTTAAATGACTTGGATGTCTCAGTTTTTTTGTATGTATCTAATCTGAGTGTAATTTTGTTTGAGGATTATATAAAACTGAAGTTCCAAAGATGAAGTAATTATGTATTCTATACCCTACAATCAAAATATCTGCAAATATAAGTGTACTATTTTCTGTTCCTATCTATTTATTGCCGTGTTTACGATCAAGAATATCCTTTTACAAAGTGTAGATCATCGATAGATTCAAACTATCAAATCGCTATTTTTAATACAGAGTCTTAAATAAGCCATGCTGGTGTTGTCAGCTATATTTGGAGTGCAAGCGTGGTTACAAAAAATATTTACTGGTATTGCTAAAGTCGAATTATGATTTTTATATTTTTCAAAGAGAAGTCTAAGCGTTTTTACAATCCCAATATTTTTCATGGCTCTCAGAGTTGACCCTGTATTACTCGGGTCATACTTAATACATATTAAGAATTCGATATTCAAGTCTTTACTACTCATTAAAGCTAATTTATCATTTCCTCCGTGATAGATCTCCTTAATCCTGTAACGTTGTTTTGAAGGCATATTATTATTATTGACTTAAAAGAAAGTATTTCTTATACAGGGTGACTGGTGAATTACTATCGATACTTGAGGACGTGATATTTGACGATCATATATGACAAAATAAAAATTAATATAACATAAATATTAATAAACTTCTAAGTAAAGTTAACCAAAAGTGATGTAATTAATTACGCATCGTGTGAACACCCTACAGATTTGGTATAAACACACACACACACAAACGCCTGCGGCGGCGTAGTGTTGTGTCAGCACGCCGCCGTACGCGTCCACACTTGGAACACTTGGAACGTGTCCACGCTTTATTTATTTATACAGAAATTTGGTCAAAAATTAAGTACCTATATTTTTTACATAATTCGAATGAGAATCATGTACCGAGTATTCTCCTTAAATATTGATAGTAATTCACCAGTCACCCTGTATAGTTGTGTAAAATGTGATGAGGTGGATAAGTCTTATAAAGCTTTATAAAATACGTTACGTAAAATGAACACCTTTTGTACAACGTCATAGTAATTCAATGCCAAAAGTTCTTTACCTTATCCATCATTGAGAGAAAAATATGTTGTGTAATAAATACCCAAAAAAATCCATACATGTATAAACATTTATTAAACACAATGTCACAGTTAACAGTCTCTGTTTATATAACATACTGTAAATACCATTATAATATACTTTAACTATCAACTACCTAAGTCCCAAGAATCTAAGACTTGCGCTATACGACATAAACCAACTTTACATAAATACAATCAAGGCTACATATTTCCTGAACCATTTCAACCATATTTTGATTGAAAACATTTATTGCTCACAAAATTATATTTAAACGGTACAAACCACTGACAGACAAATAGTTTTTGTTGTAATCGTCGCTATTCTTGTGATTTCTTCTTATAAAATTGCGACAATAATTGAGATGATGTTTGTGATTAATAAAGACAGATTAATAAGTAGATTGCTTGACAATTTAAGTAGATTATTTCATTATATTCAATATACACCAAGCTTAAATCAAACTGAGTAACATGAATTTTACTACATTAACTGAACAACCAAAAGAAAAATACAGTGGCGTTTTGATTGGCCTTTTACTATCAAAGACACATGCAAACATACCATAACTGGTTCAAACGCAATCCCAGCATTACACCAAAATAATTTGGAATGACCATTACATTCTCAAATTATGTGTGAAATAAATTTATCTCAAACAATCTTATTGTCCGATAAATATGAATTTACATTTAAGATATTTAAAATAATTTTAATTGGAATAATATATAGTAGACTCCCATTACAGGTAAAATAACAATGAAAACTTGAAATAAAATTCAATAGCAATTTTAGTCCACCATTAGAGGAAAATTATAAATAGTCAAATAAATTGTATGAAAATCTATAATATGCAGAATTTCGACAGATTCCCATAAATACATTAAGGTAATAAACATAACTAAAATACAAATACTAATGTATATTATGACAAAACATATTAGACAATAGTATTTGAAACAACCTTAAAACTAACTATTATTATAAAATAAACAGATTCTATTATAATGTTACATACATATATAGTACATACAATTAAGCAAAAGCTTATAAATATCAAAGTAATGATTGCTGACAAGAAAAATACTTGCAGTACATAATAAAATAATATACTTTTATGGAACAAATATTCTAAAAATCAATATTTAATGAAGATTTTTCATGAGTTTAAAAATATGACTAAAGGTTTATTTTGTTCTTAAAAAAGAAACACATTCACACAAAATTTTGTTTGAAATCTGGTTATTTTCATTTAATTTTATTGAACATAATTCCTATATTACTGCTTTTCTTTTAGGCACATGTCAACAATCATTAAAGAGTAACAATTAAATACATTTTACAACATGGAAATTGTTTCACAAAGCACAAACATTAACTACACAGTTACTGCTAAGTCTGTAACAGTTTTATCTCAAAAGTTACAGCAACTATTTGTTTTGCGGGCTGTCTTGTAAAATGCCTTACTATGCATGGAAAGATCATCAGACTTTGCTACTAAATCATCCAGTTTTTCTCCTCTCTCTAAAACAGCTTTAATTGTATCATGAAGAATGATTTTGGTCTCATCCAAATCATTCTGTATTTTCGTAAGAGCATCTGCTTCCCTTGGATTTTGATATTTTGCTAAATATTGCGGTAGAACTGGAAAATCTACTGTAGTTTCATTTGCCGTTGCCCATGTATCAGCTGGCACTTTAGCCGAGAATTCATCAAGTAATTTTGTGATTAAAGTGTGAGCAACCCTGTTTGGGTACTCGTGATCGGATATCAATATTCCTGCTAAATTGTCAGCTCTAACATACACTTGCACCATATACTCACCTTCTTTTACTGACTGTCTAGAGGCAGGCTGTGTCCTTTCAACCATAGTTTTGCTGACAAAACTCATGAACTCTTGGACGGAGGTCCTTTGGAAGAAACTAAAACTTTGCAGGTCATATGCAGCCTTCAGTGTTGTAGCACTATTCACCCCCTTATATAGGATCGCTAATGAATATACTCTCACCATGATTTTCGTTGATGTATCTGAATTTAAAGCTCTAAAACAATAAACAAAATCAGTTAATATATTTTCTAATTCTCAGAATAAATCTTAAAAATAATATTAAATTCTTACATGAAATCTTTCGGATAATATAATCCAAATACGAATCAGCAAGATTTATAAAATAACATGTATATAATGTTATAAATTGAGTCTCGTTAGCAAACTATATAATACTAAATATGAAATTAAGTTATGTTTTATACATTCCAAAATTCAAGTCAATAAATTTTTGCTACGATGCGACGTAATTTGACAATCATAGTACTGACTAATGACAGCCATTCAACATTGTCAGAAAATTAATACCGTTCTAATGTAGCCAAAGAATTATAAGTACAAAAAATTTTATAAATTAACAATTTAAAATTATGTACTTTATTCAGACTTTAAAAGTTAGCTTTTTTCTCAATATGATTAAACAGTAACGCTTACATAAGCGAAAATGTTAAAAGTTCAAGTTAAATAAGAATTGACATATTGCTATAAGCTACTAACAACTACTTACTACTCTGCTCTGTGGTACATAGAAATGTCTTGAGTTGACTTATAAAAATAATTACTGCATTTGCCAACAAAATCATAAACAAAGATACTTTTTAGGAATGTAAAAGTGATTTATTTAATAAAATGTCTGAAAGTACTGAAAAAATAGAAAGTGCATGTGATGCACGCCGTAAAATTTTAAATATAGCGGTGTCTACAATTCTCCTAGAAACAGGCTTTAATGCTAGTGATAAAATGGCTTTAGAAACTTTAACTGAAATCATTCAATGTTGTAAGTATATTGAATATATAAAAATACAAATAATATCCTGCTTTCAATCCAAAGCATATATTTTTAATACATTTGATACTTTTAACTAAACATGATAAATTTTAGTTCTGGCAGAGGTTGGAAATTCAGCTAAAGGGTACTGCGAATTATCAGGACGTGTTGAACCTGTGCTGGGAGATGTTAAGATGGCACTCGTAAATATGGGTGTGTAAAGTAATATTCTTAATTAAAATGTATAATGTTAATATATTCGGACAGTTAAATGATTTTGTATATAAATTTCAGGCATAAGTATTCAAGGTATAGAACAATATGCCGCTCGTCCAAACAGGCATGTGATCCAGGCACCTCAACAGGCATTTGTTCCACGGACACCAGCTATGCTCTCGGCTGGATCCAAAGCAAAACCTGCTCCCCACATACCATTTCACTTACCACCATTGCCAGATCCACATGCATATATTAGAACACCTGTAAGACATTATATAACTATTTGTTATATTTAAACACACTTAAGGCTTTAATACCCTTGCCACAATTTTGTATAGTCACACTACAAAGTCTACCGAGTTTTTGTTCATTCATAAATGTTTAAATAAATTTATGAAAGGAATATTGAAAATACTATACAGGGTGACTGGTGAATTACTATCGATATTTGAGGACGTGATATTTGACGATCATATATGACAAAATAAAAATTAATATAACATAAATATTAATAAACTTCTAAGTAAGGTTAACCAAAAGTTATGTAATTAATTACATACCTATGAACACCCTACAGATTAGGTATACACACACACTCACACAGACGCGGCGGCGGCGTAGTGTTGTATCAGCACGCCGCCGCACGCGCCCACACTCGGAACACTTGGAACGTGTACACACTTTATTTATTTATACGGAAATTTGATCAAAAATTAAGTACCTATTTTTTTTACATAATTCGAATGAGAATCATGTACCGAGTATGCTCCTTAAATATTGATAGTAATTCACCAGTCACCCTGTATATATAGAGTGACTATGCAAACATGTCATAAGAGGATTTTTTCTTATATATAATAATATTAAAGTAATGGATCTATGATAGATTTTGAAATATTTATTTTTATTTACATTTTATTTCTTCAACTGCAGTGTCATATGCTGTTAAAGTTATTCATACAAACTTATTAGGATTTATTATTTAAAATTTTGTTAGTCAATACAGACTGTTTATTTTTTTTTAAATAATGTATGTGTCATAATCTAATTAGCAACATAATAATTTCAGACTCACAAGCAACCAGTAACAGAATATGAGGCTATTAGAGAAAAAGCTGCAAATCAGAAGAAAGATATTGAGAAAGCGTTAACTAAATTCCTAGCAAAAACGAGTGAAACACACAACCTCTTCAACACTGAAGATAATCAAGTTTTTCCATGTAAGTAACTTTAAAATTACTGCTTATAACTTAAAAGTAAGTTAAAGTTAAATATGCCTTGATTTTTCAAACATTATATATTTCCTTATATATGTATAGTTTTGGTGGCCTAGAGGTTGAAGGGCCACCTCTCATGCATGAGGGTGCGCGTTCAAAATCTGACAAGTACCAATGTGATTTTTAGACTCACCTGAATATTTTCTAAGATTATTAAAACCGAACTAACAGACGGTGAAAGAAAACATCGTGAGGAAACCTTGACTTAAAATTTCAAGTCTTCTCCATGTGAGAAGATGCCTTTACTCAGCAGTAGGCCCTGATAGGCTGATGATGATACTATACCTATATTTTAGAAATTCGGCAGTCAACAAAATTCTTATTTACCATTTTTAACTGTTTCCCCTTTTCTAGTAATAGCATGCAAACCAACATTTCCTGCGTACCTGCCATGCCTTCTGCCGACTGACCAAGTGTTTGACTTTGATGAACTAGAATATCACTTCCAAGTGGCGAATAGAACAGAAGATATGCCAGCAGATAAAAAAGGTATACAAAATATTTTACTTTAAATTCAGTAAATTGTACATAATATTAATTAATTAATTATATAATGAAAATAATTTCAGATCAATCAGACAATGAAGGTGATAACGGCGGCGACAATGATAATGCAAACAATTCCCAGTCAGAAAATCAAGATACCCCATCCGTATCGAGTCCAGAAAGAAATAAATCTGGCGGATAGATTACTCTTAAGTTTTAATGTTGTATATAGTTTCCTAAGACTTTATAATATAAATACAATTATTTCCTTATTATTTCTATTAATACCTAAGACCTGTACACAGATTTATTTATACTTTTTAATTACTTTTTTAATGCATGAAAGCACCAATGTTATATGAAAATACCATGTAGCTTTCCGCCGGCAGCTTCGCCCGCGTGTAGTTCGGTTATATAGCGTTTCCAAGAGAACCTTTCAAAAGTATGGAATAAAAACTATCATATATTCTTTCTCAAGGCCAACTCTATCTCTGTACCAAATTTCATTAAAATCAGTTCAGTGGTTTAGGCGTGAAAGCGTAACAGACAGACATACAGAGTTACTTTCGCATTTATAATATTAGGGATTACTGCCCAAGTATATTATACTATTTTGAAGTAAAACTTCTTTACGCATGCTTGACTTGGGAGTAATCTGATGAATGCGTGACGAAAGACAATTCCATATGATTTTTATGGTTACAAAGATGTTGCTTTTACATTATATAACACTATAGCTAATTACACCTTAGACATAGAAGCTGTGTCATGTGATGAAATGTATGTTGCTTGTACGGAACTCTTGAAATCAATGAATGTTAGTGTTATTGACTTTGCCACCGCTTTGAGAGATGAGATAAAGAGTAAAACTAATTGTCCCTGCTCAACAGGATTCGGTGGTAACAGACTGCAAGCTCGCTTGGCTACTAAGGAGGCTAAACCCAATGGACAATTCTTTCTCACAGCTGATATAATTAATGATTTTATGTATAATATAGAACTGAGTGATTTACTAGGTGTCGATATGAGACCTCACATAAATTTGAGTCTTTAGGATATCAGACTTTCCCGAGACGTTTTATAATTCTTAAATAAGTGTTTTGTTTAGCTTCAAACAAGCGATTTTATTTTAATAATTTTCCTAATTAAAAAAAATTCGATTTCTTGGACCCAGTTTCAGAAATGTCATAACAGATAAATGTCGTAACAAGACATTAATATTAATTCCTGCTGTAGAGGTCGGAGGTCCGTCAAATGGCTAACAAACTTTTAATCTATTGTATTGTCAGAACTGAAATGTCCAATCGCACTCTTGATTTTTTGTAGCCACAATAGCATCTATTTGGTCATTTTCGAATATTTAATAATAAACTATTTAATAAACAATAATGGTCAAATAAAACTACATACTTTTGACAGACGATTATATTTTTGAAGATTCGTTAGTAAATGTCTCATTTAGATTTAACAAAACGTTCGTCGTAATATTTATGTTCCCCGATGAAAAATTAACAATGTACCTATGTAAATGGCACGTTAGATGACCGGCTACCAAATTATTCGTTCTTGTTATAAGACGACCAAATTGAAGTTATCGTGTTTAATACGACCTGTTTGCTACGACCACTTTATCTCTTGATCGTGTACATTCCTGAATATCTCACTTATTAGCAAAAGCTACCAAATTTTATATATATTGATTGCATAAATTTTGGCACAGAAAGCTGTCTTATCAGTTTATTAGGTGTAACCTGTCAAAATTGGTTTAATAATTTATTAGCATAAATTATTGTCTATTTGAAAATAGTAATTAATTTGTAATGTCATAGAAAAACGGGGGGGCATTTATTTTAATTATTATTAAAATCAATTAAAAAGTCGAAAATGACAAATCAATTGCTGTTACTATAGCTACAAAAAGTCAGGGGTTGGATTGGACATTTGAGTTTTGACAATACAATAGATTAACAGTCTGTTAGCCATTTGAGTTTTGACATGTAAACCAACATTAGCGCGAGGTGGGACGCTCTTTACATCTAACAGACCATCAAACGCTTTAGTAAGACAATATTTATTTAGCATTCTTGTCAGTAACCAGTTAAACTTGTGTTGTGAATTGTGACTTATATATAATACTTTATAATATATCTATTTAACGATGTCCAAGAAAACTCGTGGACCGAATTTTTCATCAGGTGAAAAAAAAGTTTTAATAGAACTTACTGACAAATATAAGGAAATAGTTGGAAATAAAAAAGCCGATGCCGTAACCATAGCTGCAAAAAAACAGGCGTGGGAAAAATTAACAGAAGAATTTAATACCCTCAGCTCTTACTGTATTAGGACAGAAGATCAATTGAGAACATGTTGGGACAACTTAAGAAGAACTACTAGGAATGAGAAAGCTTTAGCGAAACAGGAATCTCACTTAACAAGTAATATCCCTAATTATTTCTTCTTTGAGGACTATAAATTCATAACATACACATTGTTCATCATATAGTATTAAAACAATTTTAATTTATTTTCAGGAGGAAACAGAAACGAAAATCCTTCTGATACATTGCAAGCACAGATTAAGTCTTTGCTAGGATCAAGTTTAGTTGAGGTTGATAATGTATTTGACTCGGACAGCCATTCTATAGAAGAAAATGACACATTGTATGTAGAAGTCCTATCAGAAACTGAAACAAAAGTAAGTGTTTATTATTTAAACAAAAATGGTTGGTCGGTTTTTGTGAAACTGTGATTGTAAAATTAATACAATGCATTCATTATATGTATATAAAATATATATGTAAATTTAAATTCATACTTGTTTATTATAGGTAATTAATTCTATGCACTTAAAAGTTATTTTTATTTCCATTCTAGGAAGACAAGAAAACTGATGCTGGACGTTCACAAGTACTAAAAGTAAAAAGAATTTTACAATCTAAGGTTAGTATTGCTTGTGTATATATTACAATGATATTTTGTTCCATGTAGTAATATATGTACAAAATGTGTATAAACTATATAACAATAATTGTATCAAGCATTGTAATTTGTGTTAGCATAACTACCAATATTTGTTTCAGAATGCAGATAATATTTGTAGAAGCCGGACACCAGAGGCAACAAAGACCAAAGTGTTCAATCATCGTAAACGGAAAAATAATTCACCATCGTCATCATCTTCATCATCATCATCATCACCTCATAAAAAAAGACCAAGAACTTCACTACAGGACAAAGTTATACAAAATAAAATAGAATTATTAGATATATTGAAACAAAACGCTCAGAGAGAAGCAGAATTTAAAATTAAATTACTTGAAGAACAAATTAAGCAGGAACAAATAAAAACGCAAATTTTAACACTAGAACTAAAAAAACTCAAATAGTAAAATTAAATGAAACTAATATTTTCGGATTACCTGTTATTTTATTCTAATCTAGGATAAGAGAAGTCGTCTGCTTGTGATCACGGTTCCTTCAAAGTAACTGAAACGTCAGTATTATTAGGCCAGTGCAGATGCCTTTAAAGACAAGGAAAAGTGAAAATAAATTATAGTAGAATGAAACACATTAGAAAAGGTCGGGAATATATAGTAGAATTAAAAAACATAATTTAGATCTGAAAAGGTGGTGAGTATTTATAAAAAATGGCTTTTCTCGGATTCCGACAATACTAATACCGAAAAAGTTATATGGCAAAGTTAGGTAATAAAAAGATCTAAAACTTTTTATAACATTTTTTTTCACATAATCTCAAATTTTATTGAAAAATAAACATTATTGTTTTAAAAAGCTATCGGCACTAATGTAGTTTTTACAATTAAAGTACGCTAATCCGAAAAAAAGGTTTCATTTATATTCGATTTAATATTTTCCTATACTTTTACAAAGGGTTTTATTTCGAGTTTTCCTTCTCTTACAGAGGTCTTATCACTTAGTCACCTCTTAGATCCTAGCTGGTGACGAAGTGGTGAAACATTGTTTTCTTACGCCGACACTATTAATATAAAGCATTATTTTGGTGCAAGCTTTTAAAATAATTATTGATAAACTGTGTGCGTAATTGGTTTATATTCTTGGAATTCTCTCTTCTTTGTTCTCGTGTTTCCATGGTTAATCAATCCTTTAAAAGTTGTAGGTAACTTGATTGGGTTAAACTGTGTACTGTGGGGCTCTGTGTCGCCAGCTTATATGTAAATATATATACATATATGTAACACACCATTGGAATTATTATTTTATATTCGTAGGAAATAAGAAAATTATTTCAATAAGTTCAATGATATGTTAGTGAATCCTTTATGTACATATTCTCGCCCGCAATTTTGTCTACTTATAGATTTTTATATTCTTAAATTGAGTCTTAATAGATCCATGAGATCTTAAGTAAAATATCACATACACAATATTTCTAACGTTAATAAATTAATCCACCGTTAATAAATTAATCCACTGTTAATAAATTAATCAACTGTTAATAAATTAATCCACTGTTAATAAATAAATCTACTGTTAATAAATTAATGAACTGTTAATAATTAAAAGTACTGAAAAAATAGAAAGTGCATGTGATGCACGCCGTAAAATCTATACTAATATTATAAAGCTGAAGAGTTTGTTTGTTTGTTTGAAAGCGCTAATCGCCGAAACTACTGGTTCGAATTGAATAATTCTTTTTGTGTTGGATAGTCCAGTTATCGAGGAAGGCTGTGGGCTATATAACATCACGCTACGACCAATAGGAGCAAAGATATAGTGGTAAATGTGTAAAAAACGGGAGAAATTATTTCATCTTTAAAGCCTACCGTTGCGTGCGCCGTGAAAACGGTTCAAAATACACAAAAAATATGTACTAAAGAATAATAGCTCTTTTAATGATCTAAAAAACAGTCCGCGACAGTTTATGTCTATCTTTTAAGATTAACTCACAAAAACCGTTTTTATGGTACCTCATTTGATCGAAATAATTTGTTTAAGTTGTATCAACATAATAATGTTAATCTTTATTCAAATAAATAAATAAGTAAATATATTGTTGCCTGTTGGTTAAGAGTACTTCATTGTGAATAAAAAAAAAACATAGGTTTTATCCTGAAAATTCTACTGGAACTCGACAATTCCGAAAACCCCGCAAGAACGGGAACTATGTGGGAAGAACCAAAAATCTGCCGGAAGTCACTTTTCCACGCGGACGAAGTCGCGGCAAAAGCTAGTTTTAAAGCGGTGTCTACAATTCTCCTAGAAACAGGCTTTAATGCTAGTGATAAAATGGCTTTAGAAACTTTAACTGAAATCATTAAATGTTGTAAATTAATTGAATATATAAAAATATAAATAATATCCTGCTTTACATCCAAAGCATATATTTTTAATACATTTGATACTTTTAACTAAACCTGATAAAGTTAGTTCTGGCAGAGGTTGGAAATTCAGTTAAAGGGTACTGCGAATTATCAGGACGTGTTAAACCTGTGCTGGGTGATGTTAAGATGGCACTCGTAAATATGTGTGTATAAAGTAATATGTATTCTTAATTACAATGTATAATGTTAATATATCAGGACAGTTAAATGATTTTGTATATAAATTTCAGGTATAAGTATTCAAGGTATAAAACAATATGCCGCTCGTCCAAACAGGCATGTGATCCAGGCAACAGACGTCAACAGGCATTTGTTCCACGGACACCAGCTATGCTCTCGGCTGGATCCAAAGCAAAACCGGCTCCCCGCATACCATTTCACTTACCACCATTGCCAGATCCACATGCATATATTAGAACACCTGTAAGCCATTATATAACTATTTGTTATATTTAAACACACTTTTATACACTTGCCACAATTTTGTATAGTCACAGTATATAGTGTACCAAGTTTTTCATTCATACATTTCTAAATTAATGGAAAATATTATGAATGGAAAATTGGAAACTATATATGTATATAGTGTGCCTACAAACATGTGGTAACAGGGCTATTTCTTATAAACAATCCCATAAAAGCAATAGATCTCTTTGAAATACTTTTGTTGATACATTTAATTTCATTTACTGCAGTTTCACATGCTATTAAAGTTATTCATGCAATTATGATTTATAATTTAAAATTTTATACCTCAATACAGACTGTAAATCTATTTTTCATTATGTATATGAGTAACAAAATGATTTCAGACTCACAAGCAACCAGTAACAGAGTATGAGGCTATTAGAGAAAAAGCTGCATATCAGAAGAAAGATATTGAGAAAGCAATAACTGAATTTCTAGCAAAAACAAGTGAGACACACAACCTCTTCAACACTGAAGATAATCCAGTTTTTCCATGTAAGTAACTTTAAATTACTGCTTATGACTTAGAAGTAACTAGCAGTGCATGCATTGAAATTTGTCAAACATTTTACTAATATATATTTCTGTATATACATACTGGGTGGCGCAAAAGTAAAACATTCGTCAAGAAATAACGAACATATCGCAGGAAGTGTTACGGCAAGTTATGCAAAATGTCATAAATAGGGCTCAAATGTGTATCAACTCTGGAGGTCACCATTTAAAAGACATCATCTTTAAATCCTAATGGTACGAAATTTAATGGCACAAATATACATTTAAAAAAACCTAAATCTAGTTTTCTCATTTAGAAAAAATGTTATAGCTGAACCAAATAGGGTCTTTACTTTTGCGCCACCCTATATATGTTATAGAAATTAAGCTATCAACAAATTGCTCTATGATAAAAAAATAAATACCATTTTTAAATTTTTACCCTATTCCAGTGATAGCATGCAAACCAACATTTCCTGCGTACCTGCCATGCCTTCTGCCGACTGACCAAGGGTTTGACTTTGATGAACTAGAATATCACTTCCAAGTGGCGAATAGAACAGAAGATATGCCAGCAGATAAAAAAGGTATACAAAATATTTTGACTTTAAATTGAGTAAATTGTACATAATATTAATTGCTTAATTATATTATGAAAATAATTTCAGATCAATCAGACAATGAAGGTGATAACGGCGACGACAATGATAATGCAAACAATTCCCACTCGGAAAATCAAGATACTCCATCGGTATCGAGTCCAGAAAATACTAGCTTTCCGCCCGCAGCTTCGTTCGGAGTTCGGTTATATCGCGTTTCCAACAGAACCTTTCAAAAGTCTGGAATAAAAACTATCATATGTTCTTTCTCAAGGCCAACTCTATCTCTGTACCAAATTTCATTAAAATCAGTTCAGTGGTTTAGGCGTGAAAGCGTAACAGACAGACATACAGAGCTACTTTCGCATTTATAATATTAGTAGGGATTACTGCCCACGTATATTATACTTTTTTGAAGTAAAACTTGACTTGGGAGTATTCTGAATGAATTCTCGACGAAAGCGTTTCGAAAAGTTCACACTTTTGATCAGGCTAGGCAAATGAAAGTGAGAGGGAGATGAGTTACTGATGACAGATAGAGAGAGTGTTCGTGTATTACTGTAGGGGTAAGGGAGAGAGCAGTGCGCACACATTTTCTTTATCGCTTCCTTTATCAAATAATAAGAAAAATAATAATCAAGTTACATTAGCTTTTATAAGCATTATGTTTGTATTTCGTTGTTAAATTCTAAATAGAGAAGTACTGATTCAGTTATGACAGAGATTGAGATATTCAGATATATACGTTATGTGCTTTTTCAAAATAATATAAATAAGTTGATATTAGTTTGTACTTGTTACTATCATTATGGTATCTTTATAATACTATGTACCTGTTTTGTCTAATAGTTCAAAGTAAATAATTAAGAATTACTCATTGCTTTATTCCTAAAACCAACATCTACCAGCTGACAGTGGTAAAACCTAGCATATACTGAGTTCGAATGGTAAAAGCTCAAAATAATCGTCGTATATTTGGAAATACTTACTTACTTACTTATTTACCAACTCATGTTGGTAAATCCTAAGGCTTACACTTAAATCTCAATATTTACCGTAGTGCGAGCTTTTACAGTAACATATATAAATTATAAGTTTTTTCTAGATATCTTTCTAATCTTCATTCTAAAACATATGTATCTTATTTCTCATATCATATGCCTATTGTTTCGGTCTTAAAGTTAGCCACAGTAATTACAGATGTATGCAATGATGAATATAATGTAAATAATAAAAGAAATATTTAAAAATATTAATAATAACCCAAAATGAAAGGAGTTTTACTTAAGTCATGTGTGATGTGGTCTAAAGCACACTTATTTATATTCTTTTATATTATAAACATTCAGTTATTTACTTACAATATAAAAGTAAACAAGTAACACAAAAATAAAAATGCATAAGGTAATATTAAATTTATATTTAAACTTATAAAAATCACTTCAAAGACGCCGAGTTGATGACGGGTAGGACTTTAATACCGTCCCTGTTCACAACAGTGACTTGGAAGTTAGGCAGACTGACAAACAAACGCTTGTGTACTTCCTGCACACATTTTTTGAGTATCTCGTACGCTTCCTCCTCGGTTGCATCTGAAATTTAACAATAGATATTACTAAAACCTCTCAATACAATGAACTAGTGTTGCCAAACCATTGATAGTTTGGTTAACGATAGTTGACCTCGAATACTATTCAGAATACTGATAGTGTTACGATAGTATCTTCACATGGTAATACTGCTCATATTATCGACAGCCTCAGTGAGACTTCTTAATAAATACTATTGAAAGTGATAATATTATCGCTACTATCAATAGTCGTGCATTCAATACTATCGGTAGTTTTGTAAAATTTGATATTTAAACCCAAAAACTATTGATACAAACGAAGTATCGATATTTCTTATATGTAGTTTATCAGGAATTATTCTATAGTATTGCAAGTAAATTCAAAGTGATATATAAAAGAAAATTTTTTGGGTGCTTAGAATGAACAATAACATGAATACATTTTGCTCCTCTGTTCTGATTGGTTTTAAAACACAAAGTCACCCATTTAATAAATATTTCAGATACTTTTAATACTTCTCAAACATAAAAAAATTCTATAATAGTAATTGAATAACATAAAAAGAGTGCTATGAGATTTATGTCCAGTTTAGGAGCAGGAATATAATAATATGAGAGAACTGTTTAAATAAATAAATTGATATATTGACAATTTATTTTTGCAAATATTTATTTACATGTAAAATACAGTCAATGTTTTGTTTATGTTGAAACCACATTTTATTACATCGGAGATTATTAAATATAAAGGTTTATTAATATATAGATTGACTCCCGCTTGACACAGTTGATAGCTCAGATGGTTAGTTAGAGCATTGGCACTAATCACTTAGGTTGTGGGTACAAACCCCAACTGTGTCAGTAGACTTTTTGAATTTATTAATAAATGTTTAGACATGTATTAATATGGTTGGTATCATAAGGAAAGTAGATTGGAATATTTAGTAATACAAGTATACTCTCTATTACTTTTATTTTTGTTCAGAAATATCAATACTACTGATTGTATTGAGAGTTTTTGGGTTTACATAGCAAATTTTACAATACTATCAATAGTTTTGAAGGTATAACTTTCGATAGTGTCAATAGAATTACCACTTTCAACAGTATTGTTTAAGAGGTGCCATCAAGACTATCTATAATATTTATAGTATTAAAATGTGATTATACTATCAATAACTTACAGTAACAAAATTTAAGTTGTTATATTTATTTCTAAGTCAATATTGTCAATATAAAATTTAATATTGTTCTTAAGAAAAATAACATGCTAAAACTGACCTTTTTTATGATAGCGATCCATTATACTCAGACTCAGATAACCACCAAAGCCATGAGCTGCAAAGGGAACCTTCATACTAGAAGCCAAGTAATCCATAAAGTATAGCTCGGGACCATTTTCTTTATCATAGCCACCCATCAACAAGTTGACAAAGTAGGGCGTCTAAAATAATAACGACAGATATATATTTTTTCAGAAAATTACAATATATTTTTGTTTGTTTAGTTAGTATGGTCCCCGAATGAAGAGTTTAAAAAAATTACGTACACTACTACGAAGGTATTCTGCTAGATTTCTTCTGGTAAAGTTAGCAGCAGCAGAAGGTCCTAGTTCGTATCCATTTCGCATTTTATACAACTGAATATTTTTCGCAATGTACTCGGCAAACTGATTCGTATCTCCCGAATCCCCAATTACACCCATCACCAGCTTGTCAGATATTTTGTAAATCTTCTCTTCATCTACAAGAAAAGGAGCCAGTTTTAATTCAAAATATTTTTTAAATATGATCAAGTAAGATGACAACGAACATGAACTGAAAACTTACCGTCTTTCATTACCATAATACTATGGCTATTGCTTTGATCGGCTGCTATCATAACAAAATCATTGCACTGAATACCCAACAAACATTGCAGGTTGATATTAGACATGTTTAATGATAAATAATAAGATTATAGATGGAGATATATTGAATAATTATTTGCCGCAAAGAATGACAATACAAAACTTATTTTAACCTCGAAACTTGTCAAATCACCGAAGGTATACAGATAAAAAATCTTTTATATTTTTTTACCCGTGCATTTTTGTAACCATTTACATTAATTATTACAATTTCATATATATAAATAATAATTTTGGTTCATTTGTATTTATTTAATTATTCTTTAAGTAGGTACTGATTAGTTTAGTGTTTCAAATTAATATTTTGTTGTTACAATTTAAAATTTAAGAACTGTTCGGAATTCATTGTTGACACTTCAGAGTTCGAATTCGGAGGTTATATGTCATTATTGTCATTTGAAACAACCTATAAAAGATACGGATCTTCAGATGAAATTGTGATGAAATGTAATTAAAGTAGTATTATATTAATTTTTGTTTTTATAATATGACATAAATAAAAATGTTTAAGAAAATTGCTGTAGGCATATCTGGCGGTGTTGACAGTTCAGTCGCTGCTTTATTATTGAAAAGAGCAAGTTAGTATCTTTTTATATATTTTTAAAATATAGTTATTAAATATCTATATAAAATTTCCTGTTGCATGTTACATTTCAGATTATCAAGTGGAAGGAGTGTTTATGCGAAATTGGGACAGTAATTACGAAGTGGGAAGCTGTTCTGATGAAAAAGACTTTGACGATGCCTCGTTCGTGTGCCGTAAGCTTGATATACCTTTGCATAGAGTTCACTTCATAAAAGAATATTGGAATGATGTCTTCACAGTTCTCCTTAAGGAATATGAAACTGGTTTAACACCAAACCCAGATATACTGTGCAACAGATACATTAAATTTGATAGTTTCTTTGAACATTGCAGGAATAATTTAGGAGTTGATGCTATAGCTACTGGTCATTATGCTAATACATCATTTGGACCATTTTTAGAGAATTATTTGGAAACTGAAGGTGATTTATTATTATTCTAGTGAAAAATTGATATTCAATTGTTTCTCTTGAACTTCCTTTAAGACAGATGTATATATTTTTTTCAGGTGTTAAATTACTCCGGCCAGTAGACAAGCACAAAGATCAAACATTTTTCCTATCACAAGTTAAGCAATTTTCACTAAGGAAATGTATGTTCCCAATAGCAAATCTACTGAAAAGCGAAGTTAGAGACATAGCAAGGAAAGAAGGTTTATTGCCAGTTGCCGACAAAAAAGATAGTACTGGTATTTGTTTTATTGGAAAGAGAAGATTTAAAGATTTTATTGATGATGTTAGTTATAAATTATTAAAACTTTTATTTCTTAAATTTATCCCTGACATAAAAACTCCTTGTGAGAAAACTTTTTATTAATTTTTCTCTTTTTAGTATATACAAGCAAGAAAAGGAAATTTCATTGACATAGATACTGGACAAGTGGTCGGAGAGCATAGCGGCATTCACAAGTGGACAGTCGGCCAAAGATGTAATTTAGCTAACTGGAGACATGCTTATTTTATATTTAAAAAGGATTTGGACACTAATAATATTTATGTAGTGAGTATATGTGTCAGTTATTGTTTCATTTCTTTGGATTTCATTAAAAAAAATACATGTTTAGACATTCCAATAAGCAAATGGCTATTAAATTTTTTTATTGAATTGATGTAAACATATTTAAAATTTCTATGATTGAATCTAGCACTTATTAACACGGATTAAAACAGTATGTAAAAATGTGTAAAAAATAAAATAATTTAAATACATACTGAGAACTATAAATTCTCTTTTTTACTTGAGTATGTTCCATAATTTTGCTCAAATTCAGTATTGTATTGAAACTAAGATATTAATAGCATTTTTTTCACTATCAATATTTCTAATATCATTTACTAATCTTCTAAAAATTTAAAGATAGTTAATGAGCATTCTCTTGCGATTTCTCCTCGGAATTTATATAGTTTAAATTTTTCCAGGTATCCGGTACCAGCCATCCAGCACTATGGAACAATATCTGTTTATCTGACAAACCTCATTGGATAAATGAAGAACCACAAGAACTAAATGAAAACAATGTACTGAATTGTACATTCAGATTTCAACATACCAAACCTCTAGAACCTTGTAGGATTGTGAATAATCCTGAAGGATTGACAATTATATTAAAAAACAGTCTAAGGGCCTTGACGGAGGGCCAGTTTGCTTGTTTCTACAGAGATGATGAGTGCCTCGGAAGTGCGAAAATAAAACATGTTTGCCATAATCTAGTGTACTAGAATTATTGTTACATAAATAATTTATACTTTAAAAATATTTCTTTTATTTTCCCCTGAAACAAAAAATATTAATAGTTCTGAAACTTAGGCATTTGTTTTTCGATTTATTTTATGTAGGTTAAAAATAATATGCTGATTGATTTACAAAAACTATATTCTAGCAAGTACATTGAATTTTTTTATTTAATTATTATAATTTTTTTTTTATATATCATTGATATAAATTATTTCCAGAGACATTTAAATAGTTAAAGATGTGATTATTGAAACATTTACATGAGCGTGAGTTACTGTTACCAAATAATAAATACATTAATAGAATTGTATTTGAAAGTCACGTCTCCCACAAAAATATATTGGTAAACAAAAAATCAAAGAAAAAAGGTTCTCATTTTTTGTATGATATGATAATCGTTATAAAATTCTTAACACATTTTTTTAAGATACGGAAGATACCTAAAAAAAAATGAGTTTTTCTTAAAAAAATTCGATTCTTCTAAAATTAGAATTCTGAATAAGTGATCTAAATAGAAAATTTATTTTCAAATATGATTAAAATTAGAATCTGAAAAGAATATGTAATATTGATTGCATTTATGTATTTCTTGCTTGCCTCCCCAACAAAATCGTCTGACAATTAATGTCCCCTGAAAAATAGTGACATTTTGTAAATGTCATAAGCTGTACCTAAAACCACAATTGACATTTGTTTTCTAAACAACCGGAAAGTTAATATTTTATATTCCCGAATAATATTGTGAGTTCAATAAAATAAAAATGATCTAAATAAAAATAATTCCTAATATTATTATTAAATGTAAGTGTTCGTGTTAATCTCGAAAAATTAAAAGCCAAAGAAAGATCAGTATGTGAACCGTGATGTATTCTTAATTAAAGTGGGAAATGTCTGTTCCGCCAGTAGACTTTACAGTGCCACCTCCCCCTTTTAGTCTGCCTCCACCAAGACCTTCAATCCCTAGTGGCAGCAATCATGTCCCAGTGTATAACCAATTTCCACCTTATTTTCCACCCTCTCAAGGCATGCTTCCACCACCATCTCCAGGACCGTCAAACTATGGCATGTCCAGACCGTCAACTTCAAATACTTATAACACACAAGCCACAGCCTGTCTGAATCAGCAATATTATGGTTCATCAAACTATTCATATCAAGATAGAAATTACCACCAACCAAGACAACAACCACATCGATGGGCTGGTTACAACAAATCTACACCTCCAGAGCCTTCTACTAGTCATTATAGCAAAGCAAGGAGTAATGTATCACATTACGATAAACCTAGCACTAGCATGTCATGTTATGGTGAACCAAGTACAAGTGTGTCACATTATGATAAACCAAGCACTAGTATGTCACATTACAATAAACCAAGCACTAGTGCATCACATTATGACAGACCAAGTACTAGTATGTCAAATTATGATAAACCAAGTACAAGTACATCTCATTATGATAAACCAAGTACTAGCTCATCATGTCACGATAAACCAGGTCCTAGTACTTCACATTATGATAACCCAAGCACTAGCACATCACATGATAGGCCAAGTACTAGTGCATCAAATGATGACTATTACAAGAAACCAAGAGATGTTAGTGGAGAAAGAGCTTATAGTAATAGACCAAGGGATAATCTATCTAGTTCAAGACATCAAAATGAGCCGAGTCGAAGTTATGACAGGGAAAGTAGGGAAAGAGATAGACCAAGGTATAGGGAATCTAGGAGTCCCAGCCATAGTCGCAGCTACTACAGTAGAAGTCCATCCCGGCATCGAGAAAGAGACAATCGGTATACCGATGACAGACATAGATATGATTATAAGAAAAGAGATTACCGATCCAAAAGTCCAAGTTATAGGGATCGTAGAAGTCACAGTCGTGCTTATGACAGCCAAGATAGCAGATCTCGGTCTTATTACCGTGAATCTCATTCGCGTAGTCGGACGAGGGAAGTTTCACCGAGATCTAGAAGCACTACTTCAAAACCTTTGACGGATCGAGAAAAAATTCTCAACGATTATAGGTACACCTTGTCATATTGCCATAATATAATTTTATTAAACTTATTATTATAAACTAAATGTTTCTTGTAGGAAGAACTATTGTAGAACATCTGAGGATTTGATAAAGAAAATGGAGCAATGGTCGAAGGAGCATAATTCCGATGATGAAGAAGTGAGTAGCAAATTATTTGTATTTATAGACATCAAAACCGTACACTGTTCTTAATTTACCAGCAAAGCCAATTCTACACTTTTATTTTATAATTTGATGTATATTTAATTATTTCGCATAACTTATAGGCACCTAAAATGTGGTATAGGAGTTCTCCCGCTGAACTGTATTACAAACCTGGCGAGAACAATGTGGGAGTAGAACAGACATCGAAATTACAGAAGATATGTGAAACATTCTTCAAAACGCTTATCGAAAGAGGTAGAAATGCGAGACCAGAGGTCGATGAACTGCCACCAATGAAGCCGTTGAAGGCTAAGATATGCAAGCATAAAGGTAAGGTATCTTTAAATTGTATTTTATTATTATTTGTATATCTTTTTGTTCATTATCTCATGTTTCTCAGCAGATGGCGCAAGTTCATCATCTTCAGAAAGTGATGGAAGTATCGATGAAGATGGTCTTCAGGGCTACACTGATATTATAATGATGGAATTACAAAGAAAACAGAGTCACCCTAGGAGACTTCACCCAGAATTATGGTATGTTCATGAATTGATTTAAATATAATCTTTTTCAGCAGTTTTTGAATCAATTATTAAAAGTATCAGTGAAACTCATACAATATTGTGAAATATATTGGAACTTGCATTCAAAATAATTGAAATCAAAAGCCCATTTTATTTCTGTAATGAGCACTATAAATTTTATTTTATTTTATTGCTCCATCATACAGTATGTCATACAATAACTAAATTTAGGTAATAAATGTTCTTTAAGACAGAACTCATATTATTTGTTTAAGACAAACTTTATAAACATTGTTTAACTTGCTTGACCCACATATTTACTCTTGGTCCGTCTTTTTCTATTTTCCTTACCCAGGAGCGTTAAATGTTTATCGCGACCTTGTTGGAAGTCACATTAGAAGTTTCACTTCAAAAATACAAAAAGTATAGAAAATTAAGTATAATCAAAAAATCAATTACTTCATGAGTTCTTAATAATCTAACAATTTTTAAAACTGAGTCATTACCAAATAAGCAGTTTTTAAAGAACACAAATTTTGTGTATTACTGTTAAAAAACAATCACGGTTCTGTACATTTATGACCATAACGTAACTGATTTGTACAATATCAAAATGTGGAATAACTAGTACACATTTACCTTTGCTTGATTTTTGCTTTATTGTAATATTTATACAGCTATGTAAAAGTCTTAAAGTTATCAACATTTTTGCTTATTATATGTAATATTATCATCAGGTTCAACAATACTGGTGAAATGAATGGTGGTCCCTTGTGCCGGTGTAGTGTTAGAGCTCGAAGACAAGGTATCAGACATGGTGTGTATGCCGAAGAAGAAAAATTCACCAAATGTGTTCCAACATCAAGCAACATTGATAAACTGTTTCACTATCGGTAAGATATCTAGACATCTAGCTATTGCTCGCGACTTTGTCTATTTTGTTCGATATTGTGTTTAGTCAGAAATGATAATCATGTGTAATTAGTTTAAATATGCCCACCAACATCTACCGTCTGTGTCAAGTGACTTCGTACTAGGTACAATTTTTATAATGTATACTTGAAAATTTAGAGTAAAGGATAAATTGTAGTCTATATGTTATTTTGTTGTATTATAGGAAAGTTTCATCTATATACAGGGTGACTGGTGAATTACTATCGATATTTGACGATCATATATGACAAAATAAAAATAATATAACATAAATATTAATAAACTTCTAAGTAAAGTTAACCAAAAGTTATGTAATTAATTACGGATCGCGTGGATACCCTAGCTGCGTTATCGACACAAAACAGTTATGTACGTAGGTATATGTAGTTATCGCGCGGTAGTTTACCTACATCCAAACGCCGCGCGCCGCCGCGTGTTAGACCTTAGATAAACAAAAATGATCCATTTCCCTTCATACTTTAATCCTGGCTTAGGACAGGCAAAAATACCAAGATATTTCTTTCGTTTAAGCAACCAATTTATTGACTAGGTAAATGGTGTGACCTTGACACAAAAAAAATATGAACTGTTTACCTATCTTGGTATTTCCGGCGTATTTAAAAATGGAATCATACTTATTTACAACAATTGTCAATCATTAAACTACCTATTTACCTACATAACTACACTAACCTTAACAAATGTTCAAAGTGAGCTCCTTCTCGTGTGATACACAGTTCGGCACGTTTACACATATTGTCTTTCACACGATTTAATACGAATGGGTCACTTTTAATAGTTTTGAAATTACTATTGATTTTTAATTTCAACTCCTCTCTGTTTACATACATTGTAGCATACACAAGACGTTTCCTTGGGCATGTGTTGGAACACGGAACTGTCCGAAGTCTCGTAATCTTTGATTAGCGTTTAAGATGACGCTGGCCGTAGGTACTCGACGATTGGGGAACATCTCCCGGTACAAATTGATTGCGCCCCGCAAGCTTTCATTTGCACGCGCATACGCATGAACCATGTCCAAGTATTCTGCATTTGTGTATTGAAAAGCCATATTTAATTACTAATAAGTAATAACGGGTCACACGCACACACGACAGATTATTATTAGGTATACGCGTAAGATCGATCGCTAGGCGCGCGCGCGGGAAGACGAACGTACGGACCTTACGGCGGCGCTGGCGCGACTAATAGCCCACTAATGGCCCGCTAGCCACGGGGCGGGGGTTGGGGAGTAGCGACACGCTGGCGCCGGCAAGGCACGTGTCCAAACTTTATTTATTCATACGGAAATTTGGTCAAAAATTAAGTACCATTTTTTTTTACATAATTCGAATGAGAATCATGTACCGAGTATGCTACCTAAATATTGATAGTAATTCACCAGTCACCCTGTATATTCAGTATATTTTACGTAAAAGAGCTACAGATATTCCGATCTTCCGACAACCGGCCATGCTTGTAAAACTTTCACAATTATAATAGTAGTAGATTATACGTAGAAGGGTTTTATTCGTTTTTTATTCTCAAATTTATTCTTATGGGTTTATGAATATTATATTCAAAGGTTTATATGAGGAAAGATGGAAGTTTATACTTCCTAGATATTTTGTAATGGATAAAAGAAAAAAAAATCCCTATATTTCTTCGTTAATTTGTTAAAATGGACTCATTTTTTGTGATATTACATCTCTTATACTACGCGCATTCTTAATAATGTATGTGATTCATGTTCAATGAAATTATAAATAATTTATTTTGTTTAGTATTACAGTGTCACCGCCCACAAACTTTCTCATTAAAGCACCTACAATCATTGGTCATGATGAACATGAATTCCTATTTTCTGGGTTCTCAATGTTCTCACACTACAAGCTTGCCAAACTACCTAAATGTAAGGTGATAAGGTTCAATATTGAATACACCATACTATATGTTGAAGAACCAGCGCCTCAAAACTTTACTATACAGGAATTAGATCTTTTTGGTGAGTATTCTTTATTAATATGATTGTTATAAATTTATTTGACTTTTATTGTGTATAATAAGTATGTATTTTCTTTCAGAGGAATTTCTATTCACTGAATTATTGGAATTAGTTGACTTGGACCTCGGTAAGGCGACTGAAGATTCATGTTCTCAATTTCACTTCATGCCGAGATTCGTCAGATACCTTCCAGAAGGTGGATGCGAGGTGGGAAAAAAATATCAAAGAACATTATTATATAGTGAACTAGCTGCGCCCCGCGCTGTTACCCGCGAATTTCCGGGATGTAAAGTAGCCTATGTGTTATTCCTGGACGTGAGCTTCCTGTATACATAATTTTATCGAAATCGGTTCAGCGGTTTGAGCGTGAACAAGTAACAAACATACACACACACTCTCAAACTTTCGCAATTATATGTATATAGTAGAATATATAATTGCGAAAGTTTGAGTGTTATATATTAGTAGGATGAGTAAAAATATCTTTTATACATATATTAAATATTAACCATATTATTTATTTATGTGTTAAATATTAATAGTACGTATGTTTCTAGGTGCTATCAATGTGTGAAGTCCTCAAATACTTGATATCTGAGAGCGGTCTGTTGGTGCCTCCAGATATGTTACAAGATTTCCACAATATGGACCATTACAGTTGGCAGAAATTCGTTGATAGGATTAAAGGTTCGTTATTAAATTTAATTGAGATTTCATATATATTATCACCATATTATTATATGTATCAGTAAGAATCTTCTTTTGTAATAGTATATAACCTTTATGAGAATGCAATAATGACTTATGAAAATTCTTTATAATACAGAACTCTTACTTTATAAGCTTCTTTAAAGCGCAGGTATGTTTTTATATGTTAACATTCTTCTAAAATTACAGTATCTACTGATACTGATAATTACTAGTAAGAAATGATTATATGTTCCATTATAACCTGCAACTTATTTAATTACCATCATTGTTAGTAAATTTTGCTCCACCCTTAATCCTATTTTTCCATAGACTTATATTTTGATAAGAGCAATATGTCTTATAAGGATGACATCTATTACAAAACATTTCTAAATATTTCTCACTATATTCGCGCTATGTTATATATCTATGTTATATTCCAGGTATGATAGTGACGTATCCCGGTAAGAAGCCGTGTTCGGTACGTGTTGATCAACTTGATCGCAGTCCACCAGCCAGTGACCCCTCACACAAGAACTATTACCCTGAGATCGTGCACTTTGGTATACGACCGCCGCAGCTAAGCTACGCTGGAAACCCGGAGTGAGTTGGAAATGACGAAGGAGTGTGCGAGAGAGATAGATAGATAGTGCGAGAGAGACAGAGAGGGACAGCAATCGTGTTTTTCTTTCTCTATACTCTTCTATTTTTGAATTTGTTAATGACTTAACTGGAGTATTTATCTTCTTCTCCTTCTACCTAGCAATTTTCTAGCTTTAGCCAGGGTCTGCCTTAGATGTGTGAATAGTTTTTGGCTAATTGTTTTTACGGGAGTATTTATATTCTGTTATACAACGTGTAACATAATTAACGCACACCCTGAAAGTAGTTTGTTCAGAATCGGAATCTGGATCGATTTTTATAGGTTTTTAGGTAGGTAATTTTTTTTTCTCAAATTTAGATAGAACTAAGTAAATTACAGTCATCCTACACACAGTTATCTAAACACTTCATTGAAACGAAAATGGATCGTAAGTCAGAGTATTAATATTTTTAAAATGAAATAATAAATTAGTAATCATCATTCAATTAAAGAAAACTGATACTTGTTTCAAGGCTAAAATAATATTTTACAAATATTATCTACGCACGCACAGCGACAGTCGGCACACATCAAATACTTACGCACGTGTCCATTGACCTCCTAGATCAGCTGATTTGACGCCACTCGACTTTTTTTTGTGGGGGCGAATTAAATCGGTAGTTTATAACACAGAGACAACAAGTGTCGAGGAACTAAAAAATAAGATAATTACATTTTGAAAATGTTTTAAAACGACAAGTGCGAGTGCAAATTAAACTGTAAGTTTGTTTATAATCTTTAAATTATTGTTAATATTTTGATTCACACCATTTAAACACGCCGACTTTGTCGTAGGTATTGTGGTGTCTAATCAAATCACGCGTTATCAGCTGTTTAATAATTCTTATTTACAAATTTGATTTAACAAATCAGTAATTATAAAATATTGGCTTCACATTAAAAAAAATTCAATGTCGACAATCTAAAGCCTGAAAAGTGTGATGGAAAGAAGAATCATAAATCATAATGTAGTTATTTCGTCTACTTATTATTGTCGGATGGCACTCGGAGAGAGGGGCGCGGGCGCGGCGAGTACATTGGTCTGTCTATGTTTGAATAGCTGACCATATTATTTGCACGAAATTGAAATAACTAATTTCACAAATAAAAAGTGCAAACGCACATAGAAATAATATTTGGTGTATGCATTGCGTTTATATTATTATATTCTAATTGGGGTGTTTGAGGGTGTGCGTTAATTACGTTACACGTTGTATATTATGTATTTAATTATAAAATTTCAGATATCAAAAGGCATGGCGTTTCTACGTGAAATATCGCCACCTGATAGCAAATATGGCGAAACCTTCGTACAAGGAACGACAGAAGCTGATCGCTAAGGAGGCGAAGTTACAGGAGATGAGGACTCAGAGTAAGATGAAGAGGGACGTCACCGTGGCTATATCATCTGAAGGATTCCATACAACCGGACTCATGTGTGATATTGTACAGGTGATAAATATATTAATAATATACGAATACCCTCAAAATACTGCATCTTCTTTTTCTACCTGGCAATTTCCCAGCTTTAGCCAGGCTCTGCCTTACATGTTATGAATAGTTTTGGCTAATTGTTTTTACTACCGGCCGCCTGCCTGACATCAACCTTTTTGGAAACGCATTAATCAAAATATTGTATCTATAATTACTAAATGCCAACCACAAAGACTTATTGGTTATAAAGTAAATTCCTATGCGTCATTTATCTGGTATAATGAATAGGAATTTATATAAAATTTTATAATTGCAAAATTCGTAAAGGAAAACTTGATTTCTTGTAAAAAAACCTTAGATATTATGTAATTTATAAAGCATATTATTCCAACCATATTTATATTGGGGCCTCGTTTTTTCTAATATTCCTAGACCATGAAACGATGACTAATTTCACATTTATTCATATATTTATATGTATAAATAATCTCAATTATAACTATAATCAATTTCGTTTCCAGCACGCCATGTTGATTCCAGTATTAGTTAGACATCTTCGTTTCCACAAATCATTGGAGAGCCTCGAGAAAAAAATAGGTTACACATTCAAACAGAAGATGCTTTTACAAACGGCATTGACACATCCCTCGTATAGAGAGAATTTCGGCACTAACCCTGATCACGCTAGGAATAGTTTGACAAACTGTGGAATAAGACAGCCGGAGTATGGAGATAGAAGAATACATTATACTAGAAAGAAGGGTACTTATATAATGCTATATTATATCTTAGATATTTCTTATATCCTTATACAGGGTGACTGGTGAATTACTATCAATATTTAAGGAGCATACTCGGTACATGATTCTCATTCGAATTATGTAAAAAAAATAGGTACTTAATTTTTGACCAAATTTCCGTATAAATAAATAAAGTGTGGATACGTTCCAAGTGTTCCAAGTGTGGACGCGTGTGGCGGCGTGCTGATACAACACCACGCCGCTGACGTGTGTGTGTGTGTGTATACCTAATCTGTAGAGTGTTCACACGATGCGTAATTAATTACACAACTTTTGGTTAACTCTACTTAGAAGTTTATTAATATTTATGTTATATTAATTTTTATTTTGTCATATATGATCGTCAAATATCACGTCCTCAAGTATCGATAGTAATTCACCAGTCACCCTGTATATGTAATACAAATATGAATAAATCACATTTTCTAGATCAGTTGTATCTTGATCACACATCAAATTCTTATTGCCGAGATATAGCCGACAAAATACTTTATTTAACATTAGCTTTCCGCCCGTAGCTTCGCCCACGTAGAGTTCGGTTATATCAGGTTTCCAAGAGAACCTTTCAAAAGTCTGTGATAAAAACTATCCTATGTTCAATCTCAAGGTCAACTCTATCTCTGTACCAAATTTCATTCAAATCAGTTCAGTGGTGGTTTAGGCGTGAAACCGTAACAGATAGACAGAGTTACTTTCGCATACAATATTAGTAGGGATTAAGCTGAATAAAATATATTTTCATATATTTTAATGTAAAATGAATACAAATGTTATTGAAGGTATTATCGTAACAGACAGACAGACAGAGTTACTTTCGCATATATATTAGTAGGATTAAGATCAAAATCATATATTGTAATCTAAATGAATACTAATAATATAATTGCAGGTATCGTGACCCTAATCAACATAATGTCTCGGTTCGGCAAGCACAGCGAGACTCAGTCGGAGATCAAACACAACGAGCGGCTGGAGTTCCTCGGGGACGCGGTGGTGGAGTTCATCTCCTCCATACATCTGTTCAACATGTTCCCCGGCCTGGCTGAGGGCGGGCTGGCTACGTATAGAGCGTCCATAGTACAGAACCAACACTTGGCTCAACTGGCTAAGGTACATACGACTATATATACAACGTGTAACATAATTAACGCACACCCTGAAAGTAGTTGTTCAGAATCGGAATCTGGATCGATTTTTATAGTTTTTTTATGTCAATGGGTGGGGATAGTTGATATTTTATGTTATACTGAACGGATTTTAGTGCAAGTTTGTTATAATGTATCTTGAACTCAATATAACATATAGCTTATTTATTTGAGGAAATAAATCTAGACATGACTATTAATAACTCAATAGTTTTTTTTTTTCAGAGCACTTATTATTTTGTCATCATATCTTACATTTATATTGTTTCTCACAGAACATAGGTCTAGAACACTACATGTTGTACGCGCACGGTTCAGACTTGTGTCGCGAGGTCGTCATGAGACACGCGATGGCTAACTGCTTTGAGGCTCTCATGGGAGCGTTATTCCTTGACGCTGGGATTGAGGTACAGTGTCTGATACATAGTCATATATAAATACTCATCAAATATATATCTATGGTTCCTATGTATAAGGGCAATGTGCAAAAATGTCAATTTTTCAGGAGAGACGGTTTTAAGTTTGATTTCAATGTATCTTGTACTTGCGACATTTTGAAACTGTGCCTAGCAACTATGACATACATGTACGTCATTTGAGATTGATAAAGTTTTTTGTAAACCCACTAGTTTTTTTTAAATATATCTTTATACGTTTAAAAAATTGTTACTTAAGTATGCTTTTGTTACTGCAATAAAAACTAAGTCTTTCCACCAACAATACACTTTTTTTTTAAATGGATGTTGAAGATTTCTAGTATAATGAAGTGTTTAAAGCAAAAAAATGAAAATGGCTAAATTGCTACATTGTCCCTTATATATGAGTACATATTTGTACTTTCACGGCATTAAATGGTCAACTAATAATTAATATGGTCATTTCGAGTGCCGGTAAATATTGGCTCACAGCTATCCAATATATTTAACGTATAATAACTGTCTTAGTGAAAGTTAAAGTGAATGCATAGAATAATAAGGATTTTTTCATATTAACTACATATATTTTTATGTAATATGCTAAAATGGAGTATTAATATCTAATACGTAAAAATTACCCAATCTATATTATGTATATATTTAAATGTATATGTATATATTTAACCAGTAATGTATATGTCTATATTTAACCAGGTGACGGACAGAGTGTTCAGCTTGTCGTTATGGTATAACGAGCCGGAGTTGTTGGAAGTGTGGAGCAAGGAGCGACCTCACCCGCTACAGGACCAGGAGCCGCTTGGAGACAGGAAATATATTAAAGACTTCGAGTTCCTGCAGAAGCTGACCAAGTTTGAGGACTCCATAGGTATAAACATTCTTCTTCTACCTGGCAATTTCCCAGCTATAGCCAGCGTCTGCCTTACATGTTGTGAATAGTTTTGGCTATTTGTTTATACGACAGGCCGCCTGCCTGACATCAACCCAATAGGTATAAACTTTAACAAGACTTCATACATATATATCACTGATAGGATATAATACCTTAACTGTAATTTAACATTCTAAAGTAAACTTGTAATACGTTTATTGATTTTTAACTTGTAAACTTGTAATTTTTAACTTGTAAACTTGTAATAAGTTTATTGATGTTTATTGATTTTTTCTCATACAGTTATGAGAAAATATAAGAATATACAATAGATATGTCTGGAAATTATACGAACCATTACTACTAATAATAATCGATATACCCGGCACCCGCACGATGAATCCATTGAATGCTAATAGGTTTTGTCTCTTATATAAGCGACAAACTAATTACAATTCATACAAGTATAATAAATTATTTAGGGAACACCTGTTATTATCTCCAATAACTTATATGTATTACTAGCTTTCCGCCCGCAGCTTCGCCCGCGTCGAGTTCGGTTATATCGCGTTTCCAACAGAACCTTTCAAAAGTCTGGGATAAAAACTATCCTATGTTCTTTCTCAAGGTCAACTCTATCTCTGTACCAAATTTCATTAAAATCAGTTCAGTGGTTTAGGGGTGAAAGCGTAACAGACAGAGTTACTTTCACATTTATAATATTAGTAGAGTTCAAGCATAGCATAGTTCAAGTTCTATATGTCATCAGCCTATCGGAGCCCACTGCTGAGCAAGGCCTTTTTCTCACATGGAGAAGGTTTGAGCATTAATCACCACGCTTGCTCAAGACCGGTTGGTGATTTCAAACTTATAATTGTGAAACTATAAGTCCAGGTTTCCTCACGTTGTTTTCCTTCACCGTATGTCAGTGATGTCTAAATACTCTCAGAAAGTTCATATGACTCCAAAAAATCACATTGGTACTTGCCAGGTTTGAACCTGCGCCCTCGGCAACGAGAGGCGGGCCCCTTAACCACTAGGCCACCACTGACTATAGACTAACTAAATACTACATATATAACGTGTGTATACGTATTATTTGCAGGCGTCCAGTTCAAACACATCCGCCTGCTGGCGCGCGCGTTCACGGACCGCTCGGTAGGCTTCACGCACCTCACGCTGGGCTCCAACCAGCGACTGGAGTTCCTCGGAGACACGGTGCTGCAGCTCGTGGTGTCCGAGAGGCTCTACAAGCACTTCCCGGACCACCACGAGGGACATCTGTCGGTGAGGGAACACACTATACATACTATATACAAACTACCCTACGGACTGTACTACTGAGTAGTGACTGCAGTGGCGGCTGGTGGGTAATCGAACTTTACAAAAATATTTTAATTAGAAAATGCAACAAAACATAACGAGATGTCAATCATGGCTCAATTCGTCATACATCGGGTGCTCTCGGTAATCTTCGGCCGCTCGTGCGGCGCTCGAGAACCGACTCATTACTCGGTACATTTCTATGAACTATCTTTTGTTTCACGCGTCAGGCGTATTATTTCGTATCTCATACAAGATGTATTAGCAGTCCTCGTGCACTCGCCGAAGGGCACGATATGAGTTAAGTAAAGCGCTCAAACTTTTTGACCATAATATTAGGAAATTTCATTTTTTATACGTTTTTATATGTTTAAAAAATTAATATTAAAATGATAATTTAAAAATAAAGATGAAGTAATATTTTGTAATTTTTAAATCTTTTGAATTGGTGGTTCAGCGCACGAGTGCACTAATAAGGTACAGCCGCCACTGGTTATGAGTAAAATATCTATCAGTCAAGAAACATACTATACATGGTAAATATAAGTACTAAAAGTACTTTTATTCTGTACCATTATTATGTTAAACTTTCTCATTATATAGTGTTTAACTATGTACATATTCAACTCGATGGTGTATTTAATGAAAAAAGTATCCCAGTAAAATCCTATTCATATAAACAATAATAAAGCAATACGTATTATATTATGTTTAATGAATATTTAAAATAAACTATGGTTTTGGACTTTAATTTCAATTTTCATAATGCCACCTCCTTCGCTTATGATTACGGTTGAGTTAAAAACGATGCTTAAATAATCGAGTTAAATATTAAGACCGTAGTCATATATTATATATCGGATTTATTACAAATTCGTTGTTTTTAAAGAAAGAGACGTCAGCCTCGCCGACGTTACAAATGACACTTCTTCTAGAACATTCCATGATATTTTAAAATGAAACTTCAATTGTTCTTAATGTTCCTGTATTTCTCGAAGGTTCTTCATAATCACATACTTCAATGGTCCGCACTCACTCTGCCATCATGCTTCCAGACGTCATATTTATACCAAGATTCAAACATAATTCTTTTCTCTTTTGAAACAGTATTTGATTTCGTTTTACTTTTAACAATAATCATAATACTAATAAGTTTTAATAATGATTATAGACAAAACTAAACTACTACATGTGTCTTACCTATTCACCACTAGATGGCGCTAGTTGTATTATTTTTATATAAACTAATACATATATATTACATTCCCTAGCTGCTTCGTTCATCTCTAGTCAACAACCGCACCCAGTCGATGGTGTGTGACGACCTCAACATGTCTGAGTACGCCATATACAACAACCCTAAAGCTAAACCTACCACCAAGAAACATAAGGCGGACCTGTTGGAAGCCTTCCTGGGAGCGTTGTACATTGATAAGGTAATGTAGTTCATAATGATAGGGCTTATTTTAACTCGGCTGGAGGCGCGCCCCATATACCAACACTGACTGTCGCTACTGGGTAAAAAATACCACAATAATATTAATGTAAGAACTAGAGTTATTTTATGTATAGTATAATTAAATATAACCAATTTTTATATTATATTGTGTTACATTTTCAATTAAGACAGTTGGAAACTAATAACGCTTGGTATAATATGTAATATTTGAAATTTTAAAACATAGCCCAAAAGCTCAGCCATTTTGTGCACAAAACGAAATATTTGCTAGTGTGGCTGGAGGGCTCTTTCCTGTTGTTTATTCGGAATATTATTATTTTGGTTGCCATTACCACCAAGTAAAAGTATTATTTTACTTTTCATAAATGTATGTAGGCAGGTTTAAGATTGTAGATTTACACTTAATTTGTGGCAATACAAGAGACACAGCCAACACCTTCAAGTAATCTCACGATTTTCTTTATTAGTCGAACCGTCGAACATCTGTCGAAAGGTATCTAAAACGGCGTTACACAAAATTACTTACAAAAATAAATATTTTCGAAAGTATGCACTATGTGGTAAATTTTACCCGGTAGCGCCTCCCGCCGAGTTAATTAATAATTAATAGAGTAATATGATTTTTTAATGTATTTTAGGTATATTAGAAATGTGTTTTTTTTTTAAGTCAATTTCAAATTCTTAAAAATGTATATAGTGTTTACATTTAAGAACAACAATTTCAATCTTCATCTAATCATATTCATAATAAGTATTACTGTGTCAGTTGTTTATGTATATAGTAAAGAGATGATAAAAAAATCTAGAATTCTGTAAGGATTTTGGTTAGGTAGGGAGAGGAGCTTGGACAATGGAGGTGAGCGTATAACACGCGTTAGTTAAGGGGCCCCTTAAACCTACACCTGGGTCGCAAGTCCCAGGCACTGTTGAAGCTCCTTTCCCTGCAACGCGATGGACCCTGCACCCGCACGGTGAATCTATGGAATGCTGAGAGGTTTCGTTTCTCTGAGTGTTACGTAACGTTTGGAGAAGGGAGGGATATAGAAAAAGGTTACGGTGTGTTACAAGGGGGGGGAGGGTTAAAAATCTTCTAAATATGCGTTACGTAATACATGAACGCTTCCCTTTCCCTTTATATAATATATTTGTTTTGTATGTAATGTTCCAGAACCTGGAGTACTGCCAGGTGTTCTGCAACGCGTGCCTGTTCCCGCGGCTGCAGGAGTTCATCATGAACCAGGACTGGAACGACCCCAAGTCCAAGCTGCAGCAGTGCTGCCTCACGCTGCGCTCCGTCGAGGGGGGCGAGCCCGACATACCTGTCTATAAGTAGGATTATATGATACATATCTTTATATATATAACCTGCGATAATTAATTTGGAAATTCTAATAATATAATAAGGACTAGTTTTGTATGTTAATGATTGTGTATATTATTAGTAATTAAAATTAATTTTTATTCTGTGAAAAAAGTTTAGTGCTCTATTCTAAATTTAAAATTTGCTGGTAGAAACTTTGGTCCATTGTTAAATAGACTCTACTACCGTACAATATTTTAAAATATCGTTCTTCTATGTTGCTACGTAGTAATTAAACAAACAGTTTGGTTCAAAGTTTATTTATAAATAATTACACATTTCTTGAACTTACTACATCATATGGTGTTGCCATAATATTAATACTTCATGATTGAAAGATTCATGCGATATTGATATTTTCGTCTTAATCACCATCAAAGATATGTTTAATTATATAATTATCTAATTTTGTTGTATTTCCCAGGGTTATAGAATGTTTGGGTCCAACTAACACTCGCGTGTACACGGTGGGCGTGTACTTCCGTGGTTCTCGTCTAGCAGCGGCGCGCGGACACTCTATACAAGAAGCGGAAATGAATGCCGCTGAAGAAGCTTTGAATTCAGCGCAGGGTTAGTTAGAATAACATTAATTAACTTTGTTTGTGTTTTTTTAATGTTTTTCGAATATACTATGCGTAATTTATTTTTGTACAAAACCATATACTCCCGACGTTTCGGTTACTTTTCAGAAACCGTGATCAAACAGATGAAACGTGTAGTAGTAGTATATCTGAGAAATATTAGTTACATTTAAATGAATACTCGAGAAAGTCTTAGATCGTGTTAACTTTGTATTTTCTGTATCCTATGACATTTTCTAATATTAAAGTAATATTGAGCTTATATTTGGATAAAATCGAATAGATAATATAGAATATAAAATTTATTGACCCGACGAAGATTTGAACTTGCATGATACCTTTAATATTTCATATTTCAGAATTATTCCCTCAATTGGACCACCAGAAACGCGTGATAGCAAAAAGCATGAGGAAAAAGAAGAACAAATTCGACGATCGAGCGAACCAGACGCAGATAGAGGCTGTGCTTAAGAGGAAACGAATGGAGGAAGTTGTACCAAAAGCGTACCAGCCGGGCGGGTTGGAGGAAGAATTATCAGATGAGAGTGTACACGAAGCATCGGATACGGAAATACCTGAAGATAGAAACTCAAACGATGATTCCGGTTTAGATAGTGACACAGAAGTGACGAACGATAATCTGGAGAACGTTCAAGTGAGCAGTCTGTTGAGTGATATGGAGAAGATGAAGGCTGACCTTATTAGACGGAACGAATACGACAAGCTCAAGGAGAAGTGTAGGAGGTCGGACTCGGATGACGATTAGTGATAGAAACATGTCTTAATGATTCTTCTGTCCTATATGTATTACTAGCTGCGCCCCGCGGTGTTACCCGCGGATTTCCGGGTATAAAGTAGCCTATGTGTTATCCCTGGACGTCAGCTGTCTATATACAAAATTTTACTAAAATCGGTTCAGTCGTTTGAGCGTGAAGAAGTAACAAACACACTCACAAACTTTCGCAATTATAATATTAGTAGGATAAGAGGAAAATGTCTCTAAGATTTTTGTCCTATATGTAAATTCCTTTTAACATTTTATGTCCTATGTGTAAGTTCTCTTTAAGACTTTTTGTCCTATGTATAAATTCTTTTTAAGATAATTAGAATAACAGGATAAAATATTTTAGGTCTTTTCGTCGTATATGTAAATTCTCTTTAATGATTTTCGTTCTATATGTAAGTTCTTTGTAACATTTTCTTGGTCCTATATGTTAATTCTTTTTAGGATTTTTTTGTCCTATGTGTAAATTCTTTTGAAGAATTTTCGTCTTGAAAGAATTGCTGCTCGATCATATTAAATATGTGTAAAGCTTTCGATGTTTCATGTGTAAATGTTTTTAGGTACAGATCTCTTAAAATAAAGTGCATTTCATTGATACCTACCAGTAGAATAAACTTGGTGTCCAAATAGTGGCGTTTTATTTCGTTATTGAGTATCAATTTAGCATGTTTTGTTTAGTGAATCAGCTCATTGTGTTGTTAGCGATTAAGTACTGATAAAAAACAAAATTAGTATAGTAGAATATTGCGACTGTTTTTATTTATAGTTTAAAAGATAATTATATTTATATCAATTTCAAATAAAGTATTTCTATGTTTCCTGTACAGTACAGTTTTTGTGTTTTATACGCAAAAAACAAGGCCATACCATTAAGAAACATAAAACCGATATTAATGGCGGCATCATAACTAGAATTAACTTCTTCCAAACAAAACTTATAACAGTCAATTCGTACTTATAACAAATAACGTAATATACGTAAAACAAATATGTTTGCTCCAATTTTTTTCTAAACATCATAATCACCACCATAATTATTATTAATTACGAGCTTCGATTAGCTTGCTGAATTATAGGATTAAATTTTTGAACCAATAAACATTTCAGGGTTTTACATTTTACACAACATTATACTTAAGTTTTTTTTTTATGGATGATAATAATTAAATAGGTTTTTAATAAAAAAAGTTTAAGTGAATTAGAATATATTTAATTAACATAACACCATGCAACACAACGTGAAAGCTATGGGGCCTTTTATCTTCCCGGCTCGTAGTGTCAACCATTGCTTCTGATTGGGTACGTACATTTCAGCCGGCATTAGTTGTTCAGGAGTGTCTGTTTCTATGAACAAAAAACTAAATTTAATCAAGTTTTTAGCAAAGTAACTATAACATTCCATTCAAAATAAAATAAATTTTGTATCGAAAATTAAAATGATAGATTAGTTTTGGTTGAAATATAATAAAAAAGTAATGCTAATCTATTCGGTGTTTTAATATATTCGGTAGAACTACCATCTTTTTTGATTTTCGCAGACTGCATTGTGGATTCCTGCATGGATATCAAATCTCCAGGCGCATGAAGCAATAGCCTTCCGACACCTTCACATCGTCTGAAAACACAAATAACGTGACATTAAACGACCGTTCTCTAATTTCAATATGTTTCTAGTATATAGTTTCTATCCGTAAGTTATGGGAATAGAAAGTATTGAACGTATTTTTGTTTCAAAGCCACTTTCAAAATTCAAGGCTTTACGGAAAAAGATTCGCACAGTCCTATTAAAATATTTTTTTTCAGTATTTTGTGCAATTGTATAAATTTCAATATATTAACAGTGTTTAGAACTTTCAATAAATTTAATAAGAACTAAAAAGTACCTTAAAACCTCATTTTGTAACATATGTTTTTTAGCAGCAGATGAAAGATGTATGCAGTCGTTAAGCCAGATGCGAACCTCGTTAAAGTCAACTAACAGTTGAGACGCGGCTTCTTTTCTACAAATAATAATAACAAATTGGAAAATATGTCTATTAACTTAATGAGATCTAAGATTTTGGGGAGTATTCATTTCAACTTAACTAATATTTTCGGATTACTACGCGTTATTTTATTATTTTTAAACTAACATACTCCCGACGTTTCGGTTACTTTGCAATAACAATGACCACGGGCAGACAAGATAAGAAATTCTGAAACGCGTAGTAGCCCGAAAATATTGATTTCATTTAAATTTCTTAAGTATAATAATAAGTGTGAAGAAAATATGTCATAGTAACTCACGTAAATTTCACTTTAGCTACATAAATATGATGCAGCCAGGACTCGCACATTAATCGTAGGACCATATTAAGCATTGTCGTATCCTGAGTAGCTTTAATAACCGGTAACAATATTTTATCTAAAACATTATAACATTTAAGTCATTTTTGTTGGTAGGTTAAAACATGCCAGTTATTGTTTTTTCCTTCTGCAGAGTTATATATCTTACATTATTGTATAGTTTTATATTGCTTTTAATGTGTAGAAACAATTTACTATATGTAAAAAAATAATGGTTTAGCATTTGATACATCTTTACTGAAGTGAGATATGAAAATTTCTCATGATGAATTAATTGTACACGTTAATTTTGATTTTATCACAAGATTTTTCTTTCTTTCATGCAAAAAAATCATAATGAATAGAAGTTAAAATAAAATGTAGGTATATACCTAAAAATTCATGTACGTATATAGAATAAGCGGTATCCGGTTGAGTTATCCTCCGCCACTCGGCGTTGCTCGGAAATATCATAGTGAGGTGTGCTAGACTTATAGTAGCGCAAACAGACGACAACACGACAGTAATCTCGTCATTGGCTTCCTAAAAATATACTTAAATTAAATTAAATTTAAATCAAAATGGTATTTTATTCTTCAATGAACCTGCCTTTAACTTCTGTATATTAACTTTGACTTCCGAAACGAGCTTTTCTCTCATTTTAGCGCACACGTTCTCGTGAACTCCAATTTTACCTGGAAAAATAATTGGTATTATTAAAACACAATTAACTATAAGAAAACAATGAAAAAAAACATAAGTACGTACATAATATGATATATGTCGGCGCAACAAAATCCAAATCTTTATAAGGGGTATTTGTTTCATAAGTATTTTACTTTAGAGGTTAAATGTGATCTCTTTAATACAACGTATGTTGATACGTTCATATATCACAACAAAATCAAACTGGTGCAGAGCGCGCACCAGACCGCAGAATGGCCGTGTCGGCGCAACAACATTTAAAACCCTTATAAGGGGGTAGTTGTTTCATAAGTATTTTATTTTAGAGGGTGAATATCACAAACAAATCACTAACGCCATTACGTTAGTGATTTCTTTAACAAAATTATTTGTTCTAGAGATCATTGTATGGTTTGTATTAAAGAATAGTAAAAGTTAATTCGTAAGGTGATTTGTAATATGTGACGATTATTCATTTAGCAACTTTTAGTAAAAAGGGAACTTAATTAGTAATCAAATCGTAATCAATGCTAATCAATTACAGTATTCTATAAACTGTTAAGTGGCAATATTAAGATTGGATGTTTTAATAATTTATTACTAAAACTAATGTAATGTGTTGTGATTATTTGAATAACTAAGATTATTCGTTACAGTTTAATATTTCAAATTAAAAGAGTAATTGTAATGATTACACAAAAACCATTTATATTCGCAAACGTTGGCGGAAGATACACAGTTGTCTGAGAGCCGTTGAGGAGGAAGATTATCTAATTACAAGTACTAGTTAAAGTCTGAAATAAAGTAGTGCCAGTGTTTGTGAGTGTATTAATAGTTAAATTAAAATGGAACTTGGATAAGCTGACTGTCGAAAACAGTGATTGTGACGGCAGCATTGCTGACGTCACACTTCTTAAATTTTGCTGTTACCATTTTAATAATCAATAATTCAGGGTAGATAAATTATTAGGTGTCGTTCACGTAACAACCTGTGCGAGTGAAGTCCTAACCATGGCTGTTAGTCATTATAAATAGAGGCGAGATTACTGATTACAGATAGACTTGCTGGAGCCGTCGCAGGGATCGAACCTCTTCGAAGTGAGACATCATCCAACCGGCTGTGAGGGCTGTGAGGTTACCTTCGATAACCTCAAGGGCTGACGACATTCGAGAACAAACCGCACTGGTGACGTCAGTTATGCTGACGTCACTCATTTTAAAAACCACGTATTGGCTTCTTCTCCGACATATACAAATGAAGAGGCATTTTAAACATTGTATGATTAAAATCGAAGGCTTTCGCGAGTATTCATTTAAATGAAACTAATATATTCGGAGTATTTACTATTAGTATTTTTTTTATTTTTAAAACTACATACTCCCGACGTTTTCGGTTACTTTGCGGCAACCATAATCTCGGGCAGACAAAATGAGAATGAAAAATGAAAACAATAAGCAAAAGAATGCGTAGTAAACCGAAAATATTAATTTCATTTAAATTACATGATTGTATTATTATAAACTTTATACTAATAACTCACCCACTTCTATAGTTTCCGTGTGATCGGCGAACCTCAAGTTGACCAGTTGTTCTAGACACGTGCGCATGTCGTTGTGAGCGACTCGCACGAAGTCATTCATCAGCCAAGAGTTGGACAGACGACGGGTCTCACTCATACACCACAGGCGATAAGTGTGGATTGAGTGATCTAATTGTTACATTCATTATACAATATGTGTGTCTTAACAATAATAAATAATAAGAAATACGAAATGCGATCGGAATTTTAGTTTCTAGATAAATAAACTTATATATCTCAAATAGGATAAATAATGTTTTAGATACGATGAGTGACATTGATTGATTAATGATTCATTAACCTATTTCTATTTGAGAGGAGACGTTAGCAACAGTTGGTCTAGACTCTAAAACAGTCTTTCTAAAGTGGGCGATATCGCCTTGTGGGCGCTGCAGGCCTAAAGAGGGACGATCAGACAACCAGAATAAATTGGGGGTGTTGTGTAGAGGCCTGGGCGTGATTTGTAATTTAATTTACGTAGGATAAGTAAGTGAATTTTCTGTATATGAAGAGTTGGGGGCGATAAAAATAAATTGTCCTCGAAGTAGGCTATGGACAAAATAGTTTTGGAAACCCCTGCTCTAGAACTAGGATGTAATAATTAAAAATATCTGTTTTATAGTTACCCAGCCTATGCAGAATTGGTATTTGTTCGACAATCGGTAAATCTTCTAGTGGCGCACCCAAAATATAATCCCACGTAACTTCGCAGTGATTATTAAGAGTCACTAATTCTTGCAGCATTATAGCGAAATTAGCGCCGGACACGGTTGTCTAAAAAATAACAACGATTTTAAACGTGTGACATGATATTTACTCTTACTTTTAATAAAAACAATTTTCTTACTTCAGTAACGTAAACTGAAAGATTTGGATTGTCCTCCAGCGATGTAGGATTAAGATTGGTAGTTAACGTAGCTCTGTATAGAAAATGTAAGATTTATGAATTTAATACTTTAAAAAAAATACTACGAATACTTTGGCTTAAGTATACTATACCCAAAATGTTTATCCCAAGAAGTCAACGTCACGTGACATCCTAACGCATCTGCCAATATTCTTAGCGATGATAATATTAATTCCGGAGTATCTGTAACACGAATATAAATAAGAAAATATCCTACTTTCCTTGCTATAAAAAAACTGTTACTCGTTACTCACTTGTGTCGTTGAAGGTAGCAAATAACCACATTCGAAGATTTTGGCTTGTGTTAGGTGATCTAGATAAAATATTAATATTATTTTTTTGCTCACAACATCTCAATGAATGCTATCTAAAACACTACCTCGTAGCCAAAGGAAAGGAAGACCACCATAACACGATATGCTCAAGACAACTGCCAACGTCGCCCCATAACAAATTTTGATAATAATTCGTTACTTTTTGAGCAGCCTTTTTACTAACTTGTACTCTACCTATACAATAAAAAAGGCATATTTAATCATTTTAGAGACGTCATATTTTTGAAACATAACTTTGGTAGTATGATTGCATACCAGATTTAAGTTTTTTAACTCCTTTTGGTCCCAATAATAATGGAGACGTATTTGCAACGGTGTCCAAAAGTATTTCAATATAAATTTCTTCACTTTGCAGTATACTATTAACATTTTCTGTAAGAAAAATATTAACCGTCATTGACATGGATTAAATTTGATATTCCAGTAATAAATTTTAGTAAATTACCGTCATTATTATAAATGTTATCCAACACACATTCATTTGTTAAAAGAGATGTATAAGGCACATCACCGTCGGAATTCTGAGGGTTCAATATTTCGGCAATTTTTTTGTGTCCGTTCTTCGGTTCTACAAGGCTTTGTGCTTGCTTCATTTTAGCTTTCTTGTTTTCAATGAATGCCTGACGACGTTTAGCTAAACTGAGACGACGAGACGAAGAAGAGTTGGGTGGTGTAATGTGTTTGGTTAAAGTACTGAAATTGAAATGTAGTTTATAGCTTGCAGTGTGGGTAGTTGGTGAAATAGTTTGTAGTCCATTGCAAAAAATATGCTATACATATAACGCAATAAAGTACATACTGGTATATTTCTAAACTTTCAGCACTACTTGAACTAGAATGGGTGTCATCGTGGTGTTCTGGTTTATACATTAATACTAAGCAGTTTATTAGTCGCTGGCAATTAATTTCCGTTCGACTCTTCACCAAAACCTAAATCCCAAAAACTCATTATTCAAATGATAACTTTATAAGAAATAAAAGTCATAATCTACTTACCTGGACTATTTTTGTTAGCGTTAGTGCTTTAGTTTCACTAATAGTGTTGGGAAATGTGTTACTGCATATATTGAACTTGGCTGTAAATTTTTTATAACTTAAACCGATAAGATTATTATAGATATCAACTAAGCTGGAAAAAAACATATATATAAATTAGGTAACTTTATGTAATAAATAAAGTTGAAAGAATTGTTTCGTCAGATCAAATCTCACCTTAAACAAGATTCAATCATTTTTCTTGCATCTTCTCTTTGGAGACAAGTTGATAATATTGTCATAATTAGACTATGAATAGATTGCAGCAAAATAAATCGTCTGCTGCATAACATGTCGAAAGTATGATCATGTTTACTTATCATAAAGGTATTGTCTTTTTTTAATCTAGCCAACTTAGGATTTAGTTTGTAAAATGATTTAACTAGCTTATTTAGATATTCTATGATTTGATCTAAAACCTGCAAAATTTTACTGGTTAAATAAACCCAACATAGTAATTTATTTGGATACTTAATATTTATATACCTGTATGCTGACCAGTTCCATGATATATCTACGATTGGTCAAAGAGTGATCATTGGTTCCAATATATCCTTTCCATTTATTATCAGCTTCCAAAACGACTTTTGTTACAGCATAACAAACGATTTCCATTTCTTTCGAATGCCTGTACAGCTCCTCTTCCTCCGCTGTCTCTTCGCTTATCCATTTCTTATTAGATATTTTTGACGACGTCATAATAAATACATTTATATTTAAAAGTAAATAAAAAATATTTTGTTGGGATACTAGCTAGTCGACGTCATTTTGAGGACTGTAGTGTTGTAGTATTCGGTGGAAATAAATCGATGTGTGGAGATATCGGTACCAAGTACTAGCTAACTTTAACATTAGCGTCTATGCTCTTGTAGGACAAGCCGGAATTGCTATCGTTAAAGTTTTATGGCTGTTCAACCTCGACCTTGTATAGTACACGGTAATTTTGACTAATTTGATGAATTAGACACGGCAATCTTAATATCATATTTAGGCTATATTATAAAACCGATGTAAACCTAAGTCATAACAATAAGTGTACTTTCTAAGATCATAGTAACTCTACAAATAAAATACCTGTGACGTACTTCTATGTTAATAATTCTTTACACAAAATAGCTGCTCTTTGAATATATATTATATTCATAACAAACTGGACTAAATATATTTTTGACTTCTAACACGAAAACTTAAATGTACTTTAAAAATTAATAGCTCTTTTATAAAAGGTCAAGGTTAATAGCGCAGAAAATTCCTTCACGTGGTTCAAAATTAAATGATTATAAAACTAAAATAAAAGTCAGATTGTACAAGAAACAATTTATTTAAGAACAATAAATAAATGATACTATTCAACAAAATAATATGCTAACGATCCACACAACTGCGAAGCGGCGTTAGGAAGATAATGTGTATCACAGAAAACGATTCATTCATATAACACTATATGTACACTCATCACTACAAACCATTACTCGGTTAAATCTACTAATGTTATGAAAAAACCGCTAGAGTACAGTGAACAACATGTGTTTTCAACAAAAATAACTGTACAATAAAATTCTTTGCATCGTTACTTTGTACGCCGACTGTACCATGTCTCATGTATGTACAATGTCACAAAGGCACCCGATATAGCTATACCCACTTATATTAATATCCATAGAAATATTTGCGTGATATATTCGGTTATAAATACTGACAAAGCTAAGAATTTATAACACATTCTATAAATCACTGAGGATAACAAAAGAAAAGAAAAGTAAAAATATCTACGGATAGAAAAATATATGTAAGAAAAATATTTATTGCATTATGTTGCCATACAAAGTTATACCTTTTCATATATTCGTCTATGAATTATTACAATCACGAATACCGCATACATTATTTATTGTGCTTCATCACGATATCTTAAAAGATATCTCAAAGTTCTGAAATTGGGTTAAAGAATAAAGTAAAATACATTCACGTAATAGTTTCAGTTAAAACATTAACTTTCAACTAAAAATACGCTTGTGTAATAAACAATAACGAAAATTAATATATTTTTCTCATTTTTGAGTTAAAATAAAATATTATTTGTTTAAATAATGGACGGAAAACATCTAAATTTGAGTAGATCGAAGAAATAAAAATAACATAAAATTAAACTAACACCATTCCATGTTAATATTTGTTAGAAAATTAATTAGCTCACTGATTGTTTGACAAAAATATTATAATATTGCTTAAAATAATATTACAAATTAATTAAAATAAACATTTGCATTAGCAGCACAGGCAATACATAAATCACTGCTTTGGTAATGAGATAGAAAAATTACAACCTGTACAAGTTAACGAATTTTAAGAATTATTATTTTTTACTTTATGACCAATAATAGTAACAAAAATGTAGTAAATTGATTTTGTGACAGTATTATTTGATTCCTTATATTTAACCGTGTATCAATGCGCCATAAAAATATCGCTAAAACATAAAAATACTAAGAAAAAATTAATAATAGTGTTAAAATTAAACAAAATCACATACACTTTGATACATATTAGTTAAATTATAATAATATTATTCAAAGCTAAATATTTTCTCACCATTGCAATATTACTACTTAATGTTAAACGTTGTCATATTACTTCAAATAATCACGAGCAAAATATAAAAGAATACTATTCTAGCACCAAGATTTTATTAAACTACGTTAAAACCCAACTTCACCTGCCTTATGTAATAACAAAACTTCATTATAATATAATATATACAGGAAAATACATACATACATACATCTTTGCATATTTTGTACTAGTGAAAAATTCAAACGAAATTCTTTGTGATAGTAACAAAATATTTTAACAGCGTTAATACAAGTTCGTTTCGTCACACTATATACCAACCATATCGAGTTTTTCATTCAAATATCTTTGCACATTATATGATTAGACTACATTACTGAATGGGATATGCTAAACTGTTAGTATTTACTATTTAATGTGACGATGCGAACTCGTATTAAGCATACAGAATACAAATTCCATAACAGCTTGTTATATACATGCTGTTAGCTATAATGTTCAACAATATTGCTCATCAAGCTCTATAGTAACATATGAACACATCAATCCGGCACATCTATACTTGTGATAGGCACAATTGGTTTCAAAGCTTCGTTTTTCTTGTGGTTTTTGTGTTTCTTGTCTTTAATACTATCATCGTCTCTATATTCCGAGGTCTGTTCGTTTGTCTGTCTGTTCACGTTATTGTTGTAAGCTATGTTAGCATATTCTTGCAACAACGGGAACACTGATAGTAAGAATTGACAGAAATCCTTACGTATACCGAACCACCCTGGAAATTAATGTGTAGATTTTATTTAATACATGTTATAAATTATAAATAAAGTAGTTATATAAGTTAGAAAATTGATTGAAAATAGCCTTACGTTGTGTACTTGCTTAGAAGATATCAAAGAACTAAGTCATTGTTACTTTTAAAGTACACTTACAATCTATGTTTTACATTTATAATTATTATTCTTCATTGTACAACTGTAGTCTAAATATAGTCTAAACTAAATATATTAGTCATGACTTACATTTATTTCCTCCTTTGGAGCTAAACGACATTATAATAAGTGTAGCAAATGTAACAAACAGTGGGCTAACAACTACAATATATGATAAAGACAACCATTCATCTAGTTTATTTGTCAACAGCACCTGAAATGATAATAAATTTTAATTAATATCAGCCTTTTCATATATAAAATATTATATTTTTTTATATAACAATTATACAAAACTATAGTATTAAATCCTACAAGTACCTGAAACACCAATATCGGTATAACTGTGAAAGTGTATGCGAGTGCTGAATTGAAACTTGTCCTTCTTTGTTGAACATTTACTTCAGGTGTTCTTAGTAGTATACCGGCAAACATTATACTGTATAGAACCCCTGAAAGAAAACCAATCTATTACTATATTAAACACAATAATTATGTATGGAATAAAATTATATAGGCACAATGATTTATGTTTATATTGTATGTGGCAAAAATTAGTATAAGTACATATGGGAGCGTTCTAGTGAATTACGTATCGATATTTTTGAGATTTTTGATATTTCCCCCGATCATATATGCACAAAATAAAAATTAATAGCCCATAAATCCCTTCTCAAAACTTTAAGTAAAAGTTAAGTGAAAAGTTATGTAAAAGATTACGCATCGTGTGTAACACCGTACAGATTCAGGTAGACACTCACACTTGGAATAACAAATACGCGCGCGGAGGCGTGACTTGTATCAGCACGGTCGCCAACGTAATCCATATGAAAAGAGTTGCCAGTGTGGGGGTTTTTATTAATATATTTATACGGAAATGCTACGTCAAACGTTTTGTAAGAGACCTATTTTTTTTACAGTAAACGCATCGTAACGTTTTACGAGACCACCCCCTTAAAAATTGCGATACGTAATAATTCAACAGTCACCCTGTATACTAGTTCATCACCATTTTTAGATATAAAAATGTAGAGGTGACCGGGCCAATCTATTCCTTCTTAAAGGCAGTTAATAAGATTCTGGATTTTATCAACAATTTTTTTTCTTTTTCAATCAGATGAAAAGTATCCTATATCTTTTTTCTGGTTCAAAACATGTTAATCTGTTCTTGAGTACTAAATGGTGTTTCTAAAACAACTTTCTTTTATATATTAATATAAAACGTGTGTGTATAACAGTCTACTAAAACATAAAAACATACATACACTCACCTACTAGGCTGAGACACATTAATATCCACATAGGCACAAACACAACCTCCCACGACCAGTTGATGAAATGATCTAATCTTAACGCCAAGAATATAAATTGAAGTATATTAACAGCACAGAACAACTCCAACTACAATAAAAATAGAGAAAATAAATTATAATTATTATTTAATTAATAAAAGATTTTTATTGGCTCTATGATATGTATGAATTGAATGGCAATTTGTCAAACTTGTATGAACTACTGTTGAATATGTAGCTGTTAAACCAAACAATATGAATTACATTATTCTATAGGTGGTAGAGCCTAGCTGTGGTCAGTTACTACAGCTCGAATATGGGTTTGGCTCAACCGGGGAAGTTCCACCCTCTCACAGAAGATCGGCGTAACGTAGCCTTTTATGGCTGTGTTTCGTCCGATGAGTGAGAGAGCCGGTTGCCCTTTCCCTATTCCCACCCTTTCCTACTATTTCCTTATTTCCACCTCTTTGCTACCTTTGACATGAAATAATAATAGGTTGCATAAATTATAAATCCTCCTTTGGATAACTTATGTACTGGGAAATGTAAGATATTTTGTTTCAGCTCATTAAAACCCAAATATGTAATAAATTCATTGAAAATTTCAAATTTTAGACTTACTTATGTCTTCATCTACAATACAATGACAATCTATTCAATTAAATAATGAATCGAGAGCATTTTGATTTATAAATTCTTATTATTAAGGTTGTTTTTTCTCGGAACAGACTTGCTTTAGTGAAAAATATTATTTTACAATTGACATTACACTTAAACTTATATAATTAATTCCAGAAGTAGAAATTGAATTTGCAAAATAAAATTTTTAAATCACTGAAATACAAAAGACATTTATGTATATTTTATCAGTAAGTTGGTTCAATCTTACCTCATAACTCCTATCGTGTTTAACACACCATATACATATAGCTATTGATACTATGCTGATGAATATGAGCGGTATAAACACCAATATCCAAACATGTCTGTTAGTTGTCAACTGGTCGCACACGAGAAGTTCAAACATGAGCAATATCAAATGTATTGCGAGACTTATTAACATGGCCTTGTAGTGTATATATGCCTCACCTTCCAATCTGTGAATAAATATTATGTGATTTACATATATGCATATGGAAGTTTTTATTGAATTCTATATATGTGTAGTATATACACATACTTTGAATTATTTAAAATTTATAAGAATACATGTTATAGAACTTATGTATAATTAATATAAGCCTAAGACTGATTTATATATCTAAAAATATTAATGTAGGTCATTTTATATGTAAGGTCATTTCAATGAGTAATGTGAAGTTTTACACACCTGAAATGAGGGTACTGCCACCACACATATGTGCCTACTGTAGCACCAAGTACAACAAGGAATTTCCATATCCATATTGGTGTAAATACTGCCCAGTAGGACCATGATATAGTGTTATCTAACTTTAAGGCCAAAAGAGCGGTGAATATCAGTAAACAAGTGTGAACGACGAATTTGCTGTGGAATGTAAGAACAAGGTTTTAATACCTATCGAAGAAATTCCTCCACAGTTTTAATGTTATCGTAAAATTACCTCGGATTAAAATCTTGAAATAGGGTCTGTAAATTCATTTCCAAACACATTCACCTTATTGTATATAAAAACTATTGTCATTGCACTTTTCCTTTGGACTTAGTACTGAAGTAAGGCTCCTTTATAAAAATTGTAACAAAAACAGTAGCTTGTCATACAATTGTATATGGTATACAAATTTTACAATACATAGGTAGTTAATACATAGCTTAAATAAATTACCTATATTTAGTTTTAAAAAAGAGTTCTCTATTATAGTATTAAGATGACCTATGATTATATTCTATGAATAAAGCAACAGAGACTAAAAAGTTTATGACACCTAAAAATTTATCTTATTATTATATTTAAACATTCAACATGGGATAAAATCCTTATAAATTTTTAAACAAAACGATATTATTTTGGGGCTTTACATTATTCCACATACTCTTTTTAAAATGAAAATACGACGATTTTATATGTTGAATCGATTTTAACTTGCTAAACTCTATTTATGTCATGCAAAAATATAAACTGTCATCCGTCATATTTAACTGAAAGTCGGATGACAAAATACGATAACTGGATACTAAACACTAATAGTAACGAGATATTTGAAAATTGTACCCATTAAGAATCAAATATTTAATAAACTGATAACATATTTAGCTCTAAGCTACTTTTTATAACATCTACATACTACAATGGCCTCTCCCTCACCTAAATCGCCGGAACAAAGTGAAAAGAACAAACAGTACGACCGGCAACTAAGGCTTTGGGGAGATCACGGTCAAACAGCTCTTGAAAAGGGTCACATTTGTCTCATAAATGCTACAGCGCTTGGTACTGAAATATTGAAGTCTATAGTTCTTCCTGGTGTTGGAGCAATTACTCTTGTTGATCATAATATCGTCAGTGACGAAGATATTGGATGTAACTTCTTCTTAGAAAACACAAGCCAAGGGCTCAATAGAGGAGCTGAAACGCTACGACTTTTATTAGAGTTAAACTCGTCTGTTCAAGGTCATGCAGTACAAGAGCCTCCTGAACAAATTCTGCAAGACAACCCAGACTTTTTCAAATCTTTCAGTGTAGTTATTGCAACATCTCTAGGGGAGAAAACAATACAAGAATTAGCAAATCATTTATGGGACATTAAGGTTCCTTTTATATTATGTAGATCTGTGGGATTTTTGGGTTCATTTAGAATACAGATTAATGAACATCCAATTATAGAAGTTCATCCTGAAAATGAACAGATTGATTTACGTTTAGATGTCCCATTTCCTACACTGGCTGAATATTTGAATGCATTTAATATAGATGATCTGGATTTAAAGGATCATGGACATGTTCCTTGGATTGTTATTTTATATAAAGCTGTCCAGAAATGGCAAATTACAAATGAAAACAGGTGGCCTATGAGCAGAAAAGAGAAAAATGAAATTAAAGACATTATCAGAGGTTTTATTAGGAAAGATGAGAATGGTATACCTATTGAGGAAGAAAACTTTGAAGAAGCCTTAAGGGCCGTCAACACTGCATTGATCCCAACATTTCTGCCTGTAAATATTAAGGAACTAATATACAGTAGTTCAGCGACAAACTTAACAAAAGACAGCTCGTCATTTTGGATCATGTGTTCTGCTTTGAGAGCATTTATTGAAGCAGAAGGAAAAGGAAAGTTACCTCTCCGAGGTGTATTACCAGATATGACGGCTTCCACAGAACATTATGTAAAACTTCAAAGTATGTATAGAACTCAAGCTGCAATCGAAGCAGAGATAGTTTACCGTAAAGTTCAAGAAATAGTGGCTCAATTACATTGTGATAGTATAAGTGATGCTGAAGTAAAACTATTTTGTAGACATGCACATGATCTGCATTTGATAAGAGGATCTAATATATCGTCTGAATATCAAATGGGAACTGTGGCTTCATACATAGCAGGGTATTTAGAAGAACCAGATGTCATGATGGTACATTATATACTATTACGAGCTGCGGACATGTTTAGATCGGAGCATTGCAGAGCACCGGGCGAGTGGGAACCAGAAGCTGATATATCTAAATTAAAAATGTGTGTCTCCAAACTATTAAGTGATATATCATGTTCACCATTCCCAAAAGATGATCATATTCATGAAATGTGTAGATATGGTGGGGCAGAAATTCACAGTGTTTCAGCCTTCCTAGGTGGTTGCATAGCCCATGAAGCAATCAAAATAGTAACAAAGCAGTATAAACCTGTCAATAATACATTTATTTATGATGGAGCCTCTACAAACACAGCCACATTTACATTTTAAAAATGTTTTTAATGATCAATAAAAATAATGCAAAGCAATATTTTTTCTTTCATTAATATGCCTTTTGTTATATTAAAATTGTAATTTATAAAGGATATAAATGAATATGCACTATATTACTTCAAAGTTGTGTATTTTCAGTTAGGATATCAACCATTTACTTATTGAAATATGAAAGAAATTGCAGAAAACATTTTAACAATTTTTTAACACATAAATTAGATAAAATAAAACATATCACATGATTAAAAAATTAATTGAAACAAACTATACATTTGGCTATAATCCACATTGGAGGTCGGTGAAGTTATGTTATAACAACGGTAGGTTTGTATATGCCTGAGAGAGTTTTCTCAGAGCTTTAACACAACAGTGAAAATTTCCCATTCATTACCTACAGATTTCACCTGAGCCATAATTTCAACCGCAATGCGTCTACACCATTGAGATAGTATCGAAATAAGCGTTTGTCTCTTACGAAACCGAGATTTTCATAAAGTTTCAGTGCCGGTTTGTTTGTGATTTCCGTTTCTAAAACAACTTCATCAGCATTGTCATCTATCATTGCCTGGAAAGTAAAATGAAACATGATTACACTATTGTTACAAATATAATCTCTATATAAATTAATTAGAATGGAATGCTTATAACAATATTGATATTCAGGTAAAACTTTTAAGAGCTAAAAGGAAAGTCTTCTTACCCTAATCGCTTTCTGCACTAATCTAGACCCAATCTTCTTTTTCCTATATTTCTCATCCACAGCCAGCATAGCTATATATCCTCTTTTAACAGCATTTCGATGCATATCTAATTTACAAACAATGGCACCAATACATTTTCCTTCATGACTGGCTAAAAAACAAAGTTTGGGCCAGTTATGGATGAAATATCTATAAGTGTAGATAGAATAAGGTTCGGACAGATCCTTTTGTATGAGTCTCATTATTTCTGGCATCTGTAGCTCAGATTCGTATGATATAATTTCAATTTCATCTTTACATGTCTGTGGAGGGTCAGAGTTTTCAATAGTATTCTCACTCAACCCACTGCACATAACCTTCTCAATTTCCAGAGGTCCAATGTTGTTAACAGCGTGGTTGTCAACATCATTACACTTTACACTATTTACATTCATTTCGACTTCGCTGGGAGCTGCATCTTGTGCTACAAGTTCTACATTAGGATGGACGACACTGTCTTTAGAATGATCACTTGTACCATTTGTTAGGTTACTAAAGTTGTTAATATGAAGAGTATTCCCTAACGCTTCACTCAATTTGTCTTCATTCAATTTGTTAATTTCATCAGTCGTTTCAATAGGATCTTTGGCCTTTTTGCTTTTGTTTTTCGTGCTTGCATTTTTCTGATTGCACTTTATATTTTGTACATTTTCTTCGACGATTTGATTCATATCGATGTTCATCTATATATTTTATATACACATTCAAATCGATCATAAGCTCATATAATTTTCACAAAAGCATTGTATGATTATACAAACATTTTCACGTCAAAATCGTAAAAAAGAGTACTACCGACATCTTGGTACAATAGTATTCTTGCGATAGAAAAAGTGACTTGACAGCATGTATATACACTTAAGTTATATGATATCTATATATAAAATAAGTAATTTAAAAATGCAACCTACGAAAATATTTCGTGGATTTATATTAATTTTTACAGAAGTACTTAAATCCCTCCACAATCACATTGCAAAATTGATGTTTTGTATTGCCATATAAATATTCAACAAAGAAGTAATTCGCCCTTAAGACTTCGATTTTTAAGTTTATATTTTTATGTTAAGCAAATTTTAATTTTCCATCTCTATTAATTATATATCATACATAACACTTATATATACATTTAACTTTATTTCTTTATGTATAAATAACTGATATTTTTATTTTTATTATAATCAAAATATGACACTAATTTCAAATTTAATTCCTAAAAATATTATGTTTATTTTGATTATTTAGTATCCTTAATTTTGTCTTAATAATGGTATTATATTTTGGAGGTTTTTTATTTCCAATTTGAATATCATTTTTATTTTATTAATTGACAGTCAAAATGGATATAATGTTTTACAAATTTGAAATAAGATTCTGTATGTACTACATACCTAGTACATTTATATAGGTTTTATGCGTAGTAAATTCTCTATAGTTACGAGTTGATGACGTCACTTAAAACAATATGGCTGCTGAAAACGCGCTCGATTCTGTTTTAAGCAAGTAGTATGCTGTTCTGGACGAGACCACGAGTACTCGACTCGAGTCTCGCTTACTCGACTCGAGAAGTCGACTAGAGGCTCGAGTTCAGTATCCGGTTGATAGCCGGTGAGGCGGCGGCGTCATGTTTATTGAGCGTACCAAACGCGCGCCGCCTCTGCGTGATTTTCTATAATTTGTAAATATAATTTTTATCTTTAAAGCTGAATCTAAACTAAAACCATAGTGCTAGTGATTCTAAAAGAGGGTTTATCAACTGTTACTTAAAACATTAATGAACATCACACTGTACCTTTAATAAAATTTTAACTCAGTTTTGGAAAACTAAAGTTATCGTTGGTTTATAATAACCAATTAATAAAATTGAATAAATCATTCATGGACTCTATATTAACGTTAATACTGTAGTCACAGTAGTTTAATTTTTGTGTTATTTATATGTTAAATAGAAGTGTAACGACTGACTAGTATTGAATGGCTTTCTATGTAGAGTATTACAAAACATTGGGATTTTGAATTGGTGTAGTGAAATTAATATACGTCAAGTTTGATGATTTCCAAATCAACAATGGCCGATCGCGAACGTCCTGCGAAAACCCCCATCAGGGTCGGTTTTTACGACATAGAGAGGACCATAGGCAAAGGAAATTTTGCCGTTGTTAAGTTAGCCAGACATCGAATAACGAAGACTGAGGTAAGATTACCATTGTTACTTTTTCAGTGCATACAAATGTTAGTAATTCTAGATTATGACCTGAATGTTCATAATTTTAAAACGTGCAATTTAAAGAATACTTAAATAGCATATTATCGTCATGGATGTTTTACCGGAAAATCGAACACCGAGCTCACTAATTAACGTGTGCTAGACATAATATATGGTCACAAAAATATTAAGGCTAATTAAAACAAACAATACAGTTAAATAGAATTCCTGTATTATTAATCCTTTGCTAAATATCAGAGTGTATAAGAATAGAGTTGAAAATATCTTGGGGTGACGACATCGGTCCATATAAATTTATTGTGGGAAAATCGTGACGTACAATTATTATCTGACAGCAAAACTGTCAACATATAATTGAATATTATTAAGATAAAGATAATATTTATATTTAAAGATAATATTATATATTTCTTTGATAAAATCCGTATAATTGGAACGAAAAAAAATTTTTTTACAAGTTTACTATATTAACAAATAAATAAGTAGAGACGATTAATTTAATACAATTCTACAATATAAAAATAAAGAACAAAAATAGGCTATAAATTATATAAATCTCTAATTACTTTTCATAATTTCGTATAATAACACGTTTTAATAAGAATTATTTTTAATTAGCGCTATTTTCTTTATCCGTGCAGCGTTCGTCGAATTGTCGGCGTTTCGCAACTTCATAATTAAACGCAGGAAATAATTTTGATGCATATCAAAATTACGTATATGTTTCTAAACGAAACCTTGTTTTTAATATGGCGTTAATTTAGAATGTTTTATTATATCTTCCTGTGTTCATTATTTACTCGAATGCGTTAATATGAGGATCCTTGAATGTCAGACTTATTAACATTACATACAAACTAATCAGTTATGAAAAATATATGTATTTAAGTGCAATATTAAAAAGAAGTAACAACACTCCATAAATTCCGAAACAGTTATAACTTCGTAAAGTATCAGTAACAAAAATGTTTGAAATGCGCTCGTTTGAAAAAAGAATGCAGCCTTTTAAAATATAAAACCTTTTTCGTCTTAAATCTTCGTTTTCAGCCAGGTTCATCTATAAATATGATTTAAAAGATAAACTTAGACAAGGACAAAATAAACTTTCCCTTGGCAACAAAATAAAAATCATAAACAAGACGTCACGCGATGTCTAAAAAGTAAATATTTATGAAACCATTAACTATAGTCACGGACAATTGCTGCGTTTTTTATTATTGCTTTGTGTCCTAATTAAACATTATCTTATGTTATTAATATCTAATGGAAATATTTTCTGAAAGCAGCTGAATTAAAACTAATAATAATGGAATTATTACTGTTAGTCAGTGTTTTGTTAACCTATATCAAATTAGTATTGGTTATATAGAAAATAAATTTAATATTTAATATAATATAATACGAGAATATACGCTCCTAATCGCTGTAATAATTGAAGTCACGATTCCAATCTGCAATTGTTTAAGTCCATAAGTCTAAACTTGGTGTGGTGACAAATGATCGACTCGTGCATACAGTATGTATAGGATTTGTATTGTAGAAGGAATGATGCAATATACTACAGAACATACTTCCGGATCTAGTTAATGTTTACTAGTAATGTATACTACAGAAAAACAAATAGATAAATACATAGTAATACATTTGTTGTGCTATTTGTGATTTGTCTAATATGTGTCTTAATCACGTGTAGCATTCCATTCAATGGGGCCAGTGGGCACACGCGATAGTGTTGTAAATTATGCGTATGCAATCAGAAAGTTATAAATATTGTCGGTTTGTCGCTACCGTGCGATAACCTTATTATATTTTTTTTTATTATTTTATTTACTAACAAGGAATTGATGTTTTATTGTAAATATATGATAATTATTACATATATGTAAATAATGTTATATTTTTAATGTTAAAATGAAATTACATATGTAAATACGTTTCATATCAAACAGGTATGAAGTTGTAAGATCGAATTAGGTCGTTGGCCGAATACCGTCCTCACTAGAGTGACTCACATACTAAACTCACAGACAGACACTCTATATAAAATTGATTTATTTAGTACTGCACTCCATGTTAATTATTGTGTCACCAATATTACTGAGTGGTTAGTGGTGATTCATTGTTGAATTATAAAAGAACAAGTTGAATGAATTGGTTTCATATAACACAAAACTAACACATTGTCTCATATCAATTGTCTTTCCATTCAATATCCGTGACATTTTGATTTCATAACGTCTAGAAATATGGTAGAGATGCAAAATTAAACAGTGTCAATATACATAATATATTTCATAACTAGCTTTCGGTTATATCGCGTTTCCAAGAGAACCTTTCAAAAGTCAGGGATAAAAGCTATCCTATGTTCTTTCTCAAGGTCAACTCTATCTCTGTACCAAATTTCATTAAATTCAGTTCAATGGTTTAGGTGTGAAAGCGTAACAGACAGAAACAGAGTTACTTTCGCATTTATAATATTAGTAGGGATAAATATTATTAATACGTAATCCATAGGTGCTGATGGGTTCGAATATTAATATATATATGAAAATTTTCATAATATAATCCTAATGAGAGCATCTGCGAAATATTTCAAGGAACATAATAATCAATCAAGAATCGAGTAGTCTGAGGTCGGGCGAGCTTCGCGTCCAGAAATACGACCATCGACCTTGCCTTCTGATGCACGATGTCTTAAAGTTTAACATTTTTCCGTGTGAACAATACATATCAAGGTGACGGTCGAATAATAGCACAAATGTACTATAATTATGACATACCAATAATGTACTATTACGTGTTTAATATTAGAGTAAACATACATACATGCAAATGTTTCATACGTTCGAAAGAATTAATATTATTTATATAAAATGCATGTGTGATATTTGTAGGTTCAGTTCAGCTAAATAAATGCATAATACAATAATTCGTGTCATTGCAACACAAATCTTGATTTATCTACCTATAATATATTTGCATTTTGAGTTTGTTTGATATATAATATAACTGAAAATGGTTATAACTTATAAGTTACCATGTATAAGATGCGTGACAAAAACAAAGCTGTGTATTTTGCCAGGAAATAACACCGTATGGCACGAGCGGTTTATAACGACCCGCTTGAAAAATGTACTCTTGACGCAAATGCGTTATCTATTTTAAAGTTCTGCGTCAGAGTTTTGCTCTTATCTGTTTTGTGCACTGACGGTCACCCTCAGACGCGTCTTGGGCGTATATTACTGAAACTTTCACTTATATAGATTATCTTAATACTTATCAGTTGAAGCTAAACTGAAAGTTCAATGTCTTTGTCTTTTATACATCGAAGGTGAAGGTCGAGCTTCAAAATGTTTTAAATAAACAGAGTTTGATAATCGTCTCTAAAAAACATGACATCTCAATTATACAAAAAAAAGTACCTAAAATCTGCCAACGTCATTTAAAGCATCAATAATCTTCTAGTTAGTATTATTTTTATACTACATCACTGTTACAACTCATTAAAATTTTTCGATGTCATTGTTTTCACAGCTTGTTTAAGGACTCTTATCTTATTTGCTCAATTTTATCATTTATTTCATGTCCATATAAGTCATCTGTATCTAAAAGTGTTCATGAATTCATATATTTAATTAAATGGACAATGTATTAATAAATCATATTTTTAGATTTCTTTTTTAGATAACATTGATGACAAATTTATTACGTTTTTTTTATAACATATATATGTATATTCTTCTACATTAGAAATGCAGTGAAAAGTTGTACAGACGTAGGTATGTAAACAAACCTCGACAAGCAGGTGCTCTTTAGACAAAGACTGGCACTAAAATGTAACGCTTGCGTGCACCTGTGATTAAAAACAAGAAACTACAGCTATAGTGCATATAAAAAAAAAAACTTACAATTTGAATTTGGAACATAATTTGAATTTGGAACATAATTTAAATAATTCTTTCTAAAGCTGCACAGATAACAAATTGAATACGGTTGCTTTGGTAGGGAAAAGGATTTTTAGGCCGTGGGGGTGGGAGGCACTAGTATGGAGTACTACGTTCACCCCGTGCTTACGTTAGAGAAAAGCACTTTCAGCTACGTATACATGATGTGTTTTTATGCTCAAGTTTTAACGTGTTTTAAGAAGTTTTTAAAAGGAATTTTATATATATTTACCTACAGCAAGAGTTTACATTACATCTTTATTACATAGTTTGTTCACTATTAGTTAGCAATAAGATATTTATTATAATAAATTCATAATACCATCCATGTATGTACATGTTTTTATAACAAATCAACTTTTGAATTTCAACTTCGTCTGTACATCGTCGTGGCAATTCGTGATGCAATGAAAATTTATTCTGTCATAATTAATGTGAGGATCTGCAGAATTTCAGTTCGTTACGTTGCTCGGTTTCTTAATTAACGTTACAAGAGAATGTGGAACAGTTTAAAAGAAATAAGATTGGTTGAATGCATTTCGTTACGTCATGTAAAATACTTGCAGTCTCAAGCGGGTCTGGTTATCCTGTCTTTGTCACTCCTCAACTTTCCTGCTTCCTCCACTATATTGATCGCAGTCTGGACTTGTTGATTACGCTGAATTTGGTATAAGGGCGGAGACAGTAACCACTACCCCGTACGTCGATCGTTTAGTACCTTGTTAACTATTACCATAAAAAATATATATCGATTATTTATATATTTTTTTATAATACTATTTTAATACTGGCAACACAAAAGCTGATAAAGAAAAAAAAAATCAAAGGAGTTTTTATATATTTGTATTAATTATTCTGTAATACAGGTCTTTGAGCCTAGCTCAGAAATCAGGGACTTCATTGTACTTTGTAACTTTTTTGTGAATAAAGATTATTATTATTGTTAATTAATTATTCATAATTTTCTAACTAGCTACAGAATTAAGTTTTATATTTATTGTTAACTAATGCTTCGTCTGTAGT